AAGTGGTAGAAAGATTTTTTGTAAGGTTGATTAAGGAGAGAGGGGGATTTAAGGGAAACTTTTTTAAAAAAAGGAAGTACATTTTTAAAAGAAAAAGGCTAATTAAATAACAGGAAAATGTAAAGGAAGATGGAGAGGGGAGCTTTTAGAGAAGAAACAGGAGTTCGTTTAAGGCAGGGTGAAAAAGCACATGGCAAGAGAGAGAAAGAACCTTTCTTGTAAATGAGCAAAACATACCTATGTATAAAAGGGAAAGTACAGAAAACATCAGTAGCAAATAGAAATCCATTTTTGTTAGTGAGAGATGTAAGTAAAGAATTCTGCATGGAGGAGATGGAGAGAAAGAAGCAGAGGACTCACCATTGCAAATCTTTTCGTTTTCAAAGGACAAAAGATAGACACTCCAGCACATGGCTGAGAGAAAGAGAGTGTCTTTTTTGTTAGAGAGAGTGAAAGCGTAGAAAGGAGTAGTGATAACTATGCCAAGGGCCGCTAGCGTTGGGTGCTAGCCCTTCCTCTCACTCCAACCAATCAGAAACTGTTCTAAGCACCTCCTTCTCTCTCTTTCCAATACCAAGTCTTTTCTTTGTTTTATCTTTATCTAAAGAAACAGTCCACCATTTAACACTTTTACATATGTGTTGCAATATAAAATGATCACGCAGAAACACCCCCATGGTTAAAACCATAAAACCTTACTAGCAGCCATTTTTTAAAAGCACCAAATAGTTTTTTCCCCCCTGTGTTTTTAATGAGGATACTGTGAAGCTGCAGCAAAGGCTGCCTGGGTATGTCTACACCACCACCCTAGTTCGAACTAGAGTGGTAATGTAGGCAACCGGAGTTGCAAATGAAGCCCGGGATTTGAATTTCCCAGGCTTCATTTGCAACTCTGGTTGCCTACATTACCATCCTAGTTCGAACTAGGGTGGTAATGTAGACATACCCCCTGTGATTAGAAATCAGAAGGCCCGGAGACTTGCTTTAAAAACTTTTCTAAAGAAATTATACAAAACACAGGTTAACTTAATTGAGACAGTCTCCTTCCAGTTTTTTAAACTATGGATAAGTATTTTCCTTTGCTTTGCAAAGAGGAGAATGTTATTTGCAGTACAAGTTAAAAGGAGCAAGCTATATAAGCCCCCTTATTTTGTAAACCACTGGATAATAAAGATGTTTCTCTCCCTTTTAACAAATACAAGTGATTCCTTTTGTAAAAGACTAAGCATTTTAAAAGGCAAACTACTTTGAAGATACATTTCCTCACTGCCTTGTCCTCTATTTAACACCTTTACATGTTTAGAGCATGCAAAAACATCTCAGAGTGAAAACCACAAACCCATAATAACAGCCACTTGATAAAAGTGTTGAAAAGCTTTCTCATCATGTTTTAGACTAACGCTGGTTGGCTGTGTCTAGGCTGGCCAGTTTTTCTGGAAAATCAGCCATTTTTCCGGAAAAACTTGCCAGCTGTCTACACTGGCCGCTTGAATTTCCGCAAAAGCACTGACTTCCTACTGTAAGAAATCAGTGCTTTTTGAAGAAATACTATGCTGCTCCCGTTCGGGCAAAAGTCCCTTTGCGCAAACGGCCTGTGTAGAAAGCTGAGATTTGTTTTGCACAAAAAAGCCCCGATCGCGAAAATGATGATTGGGGCTTTTTTGCGGAAAAGCACATCTAGATTGGCCACGGACACTTTTCTGCAAAAAGTGCTTTTGCGGAAAAGCGTCCATGCCAATCTAGACGCTCTTTTCCGAAAATGCTTTTAACGGAAAACATTTCCTTTAAAAGCATTTCCGGAAAATCATGCCAGTCTAGACGTAGCCGTTATGTTTTAGCAAGGACCATCTGAAACTGCAGCAAAAGAAGCCTGTGAATTAGGGATCAGAGGACATATGTTAGATGACCAATCATTATATGAAATCTCTAGTCTTGCTTTTAAAAGATTTTCTAAAGTAAAACATGTGAAAAGAAATTTTACAGCAGCTTTTTGTAAAACAGAAAATACAAGATAAAAAGTTTGTATTTTCCCACTTCTTTAATTGTTTAAAGGCATGAAGACTTTAGATTTATACAAAGGACAGAGGCTGAGTCAACTTTTTTTTATAATAGATTTTTTTTGTTTGTTTTCTTTAGCTCTGCTAAAGAATATTAAAAGGAGTAAGCTATATACTCTTCCCCTTATTCTGTAAATCAGTGGATAAGAGTCTGTTTTTCCCCACTAAACTTTCATCCTGCAAGTGCTTTTTAAATAAACCAGGGGAAAGCTATAAGAGATAAATTTGTTTTTCCCATCACATATTATTCTTTCTAATGCATTTTAAATGAATAATTATGTACAACCTGGCCCGCCTTCCCCAGTCCTGTTTACAGGCATACCAACTGTGAATCCCTTTTGTAACATTATTCTTAGCATCCACTATCCTTAATCAATCTAACCAAACAAACTTTCTCTTCTTTCATAACCTTGCCCCTTACTAAACCCAGCCAAGCAAGCTTTCTTTAATGCCTCTCTTTCTAGTATTTCATATTTTTCTATTAATATAAACCAAACATGTCAAAACACACTCATGCGATATTCCCCAAACGAAATACAGATAAACAACTTGTAAAAATTCAAAATGGCTGACAGTGCCAAATTCATACATGACTGGAACCAGGGACAGAGGGCAGGACTTCCATCCAAAAACGGGCATGGAAATCTGTGTAAAAGTATATGGTGATGAATTCTTTCGAGGTATCTGTTACTACTGTCTCACAGTGCATTGGTGGCCTTCCCAAATATCTCACAATACATTTTTTCTTGAAAAAGTACCACAAACTGTGGGATAGATGCTCACAGGACAAGTGAAATGGTTTAGGACAGTGCTATTGTGGACGTAGGACAAATCTGTAAGAGTTTTTAACTTGATCAGTGTGAACACACTGAACTATTAGTGCTTTAACTAGTGTAAAACAACTGGATTCAATTACAAATGTTTCAGTTGTGTCTTGGCCACATTCCAACTTGAGGCATTGCATTTTACCTACCTAAATTCCTACTGTAATTTGATTTGATTAAGCTGCTCTTCAGTTAGGCTACACAGCAAATTTTACTAGCGTCTACACAGCCAAACGGCTATTTCGAAATTAATTTGAAATAGCGGAGCGCTTATTTCGAATTTGGTAAACCTCATTCCATGAGGAATAACGCAAATTTTAAATATCTATTTCAAAATAAGTGCTGTGTAGACACTTATATTGAAATAGGGGGCCTCCTGCCTTCCCAGGGTGCCATGGTAGCCACTCCAGCCTCAACCAAGAACACTCCTCTCTCCCCACTCCCTGGAGCCCTTAAAGGGGTTGACTCTGGCCACAGTGGCTGTGCCAGCTGCAAGCCTGTTAGCCCAGAGCAAGCAGTCACTGCTCCTGACTCAGTGGCCCCAAAACATAGCCAGCAAGCCACTGGCAGGCAGCCCTCCACTGCTCCCCCAGAGGCAGCCAGCCCTCCACTGCTCCCCAGGAGGAGTCTGGCAGCTCCCAGAAGCCTACCAGGGCCCGGAGAAGGCGGATGCCTTCCTGGTCCAGAGTGGAGATCATGGACTTTATTCAGGTTTGGGGGGGATGCCCCCACCGTCCATGATCTCCACACTAGATGGAGGAACGCAGTCGTCTATGACAGGATAGCTGCCAGCCTGGCCACCAAAGGCCACGTGTGAACCCAGAAGCAGGTTTGCATGAAAATCAAGTTGGTCCAGCGAGACACTCCCCCCCAATCCTGAGTTTCCACTCCCCCTTCTTCCCCTTGTTTCCCCCTTCCAGTTCCCTCCTTCCAGGTTTCACCCTCCCCTCTCCCACTCTCTCTTCTCCCTTCTCCCACCTCCTTTCCCCAGTCTCCCACCTCCTTTCCACAGTCTCACCAGAGTTTAATCCCCCCCCCAGTTTTGTGACACATTATTTTGAGAGTTTGTGTTCATGAAAATACATGTATTTTATTGGACATCAAGAAGGGGCACTATGGAGGGGTAAGTGGAAGGACGTGAGGGAGGAATGAGAAGATACAAGCCCCCAGTGGGGCAGACCAGGGGGGCTCTCAGTGCTCCTCAGGGTGGAAGCTCTCTCACAGGGCCTCCTGAATACTGACAGCCCCCCGATGGACCTCCCGGATGTCAGACTGCAGAAAGTGCAGCTAGGTTCACAGAAACGCATCCAAGAGAAGCACCAGAGTGCCCAGGGGCAGCTCTGGCTCCACGTTGCAGAGTAATGTGATGTCCCGAGCACACAGAGACAAAATGCTTTGCTGTCCCTCTTCGAGGTAGGCAAATATTGACATGCATTTTGTGTGTAGATGCATTATTTCAAAATAACTTATTTTGAATTAACTCTTTTGAAATTAGATATTTTGAAATAACACAGTAATGTAGACATACCGTTACTTACTTAATAAAAATGGTGGTGGATCTGAGACAAAACCCCAGATTCAAACACGCTTGAATTTTGGATCCAAAGCTGAATTTTGAGTCTTGATCATATCTCTTAAATAAAATGGTGGTGTAATGTTAATGGTGCAAGTTAGCTTCTATATTCCATCACAGAGGTGGTAACCATGATGCTACACTGTACAGACCATTAAATCATTTTTCATTAATTCAATTGATTTTCTCTATGAAGAATTAATAAACCTGGTAACACATTGTATTTGATCCTTCCAGTAACTCTTGTAGCTGAGTAACTCTTGTAGAGTAACTCTTATAGAGTGCTGAGGGTCCTTGACTCATTAAACTCAAAACAAAGTTAGGGAAATGGCTCTGGTATAGTGGTGTTTTAAAAATAAGCGTCTATATAAGCAAATGTGTAACTCACATGATTAGTCAATGCAACTTTTTATGTGACTAATCTGATAAAGTAATTATGACAACAGAAGAGTTTAAAAGGCTTACTAACATTGTGTGCCATCTCAATGACACTTTAACAAGTCTGTAAATAAAATGTTGACTAGTCCATTGAAAATATTTACTTACATTTTGTCTTTGCTGAAATTTTGACAGGATCCCCCGTGTGCTCTCCATTGTCCATGTAAATCTGAGATGCAATAAATGAACATGTTCAAATTATTTGTACTAAGCAAAAATACTTCCAGAAAATTAAAATATTGTTTTCCAAAGAGCTGTGCAGATATTCACTAGCTTAGGATCTGTCCTCCAACCTTTTCCAGCTCTGAAACATGCCTGCCACTGACGAGGCAGCACGTTACAATATAAACTATTTAAAGGTTTTTTTGCTGATATAGAAGCAGCATTTGCACAATACAAATGAAAGTAGATATGAAATATATAATAAAACAATACAGTTGGTTATTCAATAATTGTGACAAGTATATTTTTATAAAAGAATTGTCATTTAATAGTGTAATATTTTGATGCAGTTTTGTGTATGTAAAGTGTAAAATGTCAATTTGCAATCTCCAATTTGGAATCTCTTCACGTGTTCTCAAAGAAAATTTCAAAAGTGCAACTTCCATAAAGGATTCACTCTGCCAAATGTTCTAGCACCTCGCAAGAAAGCATATAAAACTATGTAGACATGTGAGATAATGTGAGACAACATACACTAGAACTTAAGTTGTATCAAGACCCACTCCACCAAGTCAAAAACCTGAAAAGGGGAGGGGAAATTTCAGGAATATTCATTGTATCTATAGTTTGATAAGTAAGTTCTCTTAGGAGACACTTTTTCTGAAAGGACTGCTATTTCTGCCTGTGCACCAAACACCTGAATATTTCGTTCTCAGTGTATATGTGGACTCTCTGGACTAAGGTTATGTTTATGCTGCTCACTAAACCCAGGTCTGACTGAGCCAATGCCCCCTTACAACCACATGCAAATCATTCTTATTGGGGCCAGCAAGCTCTCAGGATATGGATCAAAGAGCCTTGCCTAGGAGATGGGCCATAGCATAAATTGTGCTGTAACTTAGGTCTAGGACATGTCATTTTGCAGGCTGGCTATCACTCAAGTCACAGACCTGAGTGAGAAGGTCAGCATAGTGCAGCATGGTTGTAAGACCTGAATCCAGCAATTAGGCTACGTCTAGACTACATGGCTCTGTCGACGGAGCCATGTATATTAGGTTCGTAGACATAGGAAAATGAAGCAGCAATTTAAATAATTGCCGCTTCATTTAAATTTAAATGGCTGCCGCGCTGTGCCGATCAGCTGTTTGTCGGCACAGCACAGGAGTCTGGACGCTTTGAGGTCAACAAAGGAAGCCTTTATCAACTGCCCCATTATGCCTCGCATCCAGACTCCCGTGCTGTGCCGACAAACAGCTGATTGGCACAGTGCGGCAGCCATTTAAATTTAAATGAAGCGGCAATTATTTAAATTGCTGCTTCATTTTCCTATGCCTTTGCACCTAATCTACATGGCTCTGTCGACGGAGCCATGTGGTCTAGTCGTTGCCTTATAGCGGCAAGACCTATTGTAAAACTGTGTTTAAACATGAGTCCCATAGACGTGGGTTTACAATGCAATGTAAACATACTGTAAGAGACTGAAGAACTCCAAAAGACCCTGAACTCTTGAATTTTGGAGCTGGGCATTTGGGCAGGGTCTATGTATGTGCATAGTAAGGAGATAAGTGGCAGCAAATGCAGCAGTGGAAAGAAGATAGAGAGCTTATTAAATCTAAAAATCCTCCTGAAAAACTGGTTAAACCAGGAAATTGGGAAACAGCTCCTTTTATCCTATGTTGAGAGTGTCAGGGCTGTCAAAGACAGACATCAAATCTACAAAGCCACAATCAGGGTCAATAAATGAGGAGTAATGTTAGTTCGAACCAAAGGGTTTGATTCAAACTAACACGGCCAGGAGTGCACTTTTACTTTCGAAACAGCTAGGTTTCGAAACAGTGCACAGCCGAGATTATTTTGAATGCCTACATTTGCATCCCTAGTTTGAACTAGGATGCAAGTGTAGACGTACCCTCATGTACTGGACTGGAAAGATATCACTGAGTTGAGAGATTTTCTGTTTCTCCTTGGAATCAGTCAGCAGACAGACAGCCTAGAGTAAGGTGGAGTGAGTTGTGCTTCTGTTTTAGAGAAAAGTCTCTAAAGTGCTCTTTCCGTGCTCTTTTTTTAAAGTGCTTTTTTTTAGTTTCAGGGTTGTTTCAAATTCTCATTTTGAATTCTTACAAAGAAAGTAGTTTGTTATGTTGCAACCTTTCAGCAAAAGTACTGGTGTGTGTGTTTTAATCTAATCTCTGTGTACATAACAAATTCCAATGACTCTTGAGTAGACCCAGATCCAGAATCCTGCTGTTGCTGCCTAACGATATGTCTAAACAACATTATTTTGAAATAATTAGAGCTATTTTGAAATAACTTAATCTGCATCTATACAGCAGGAAGTTATTTCAAAATAGTTTCAAATACTGTCGAGCTGGAGGACTTCTTACTCTGACTCCTGTAACCCTCATTGTACAAGGAGTAAGGGAAGTTGGAGGAAGAGTGTTCTGTTTTGAAATGAATGCCATGTACTGGACTGGAAAGATATCACTGAGTTGAGAGATTTTCTGTTTCTCCTTGTATGCAGTCAGCAGACAGACTGCCTGCTGTCAATCCCAATTTCGAAATCAACTATTGTGAAATAAGCTACGCAATTGACGTAGCTCAAGGTGAGTAGCTTATTGTGAGTTAAGATCTGCTGTGTAGATGCATCCTAGAAGACCCTATGTGACTTCCCCAGCCAGGATCAAGCAGAACACTTTAGTTACAATCTTAGCCCTTGTGTATCTAGAGGATTAGTGCAGGCAGTGCAGGGTGAGCCCACAAGAGAAGACTGCACTCTATTCCAACATTGTCTCTAAATTCAAAGTATGAACTGAATGAACAAATCCCAGAGAGATTAGCATTCATTCTCCAAAGCTGCCTTTCATTAGCTAGGTAAGAAGAATAGTAATAGAGAGGTAGCCATGTTAGTTTGATCTTGATAAAACAAAAGGAAAAACTATGTAACACTTTAAAGACTAACAAGATGATTTAATAGGTGATGAGCTTTCGTGGGCCAGACCACAAAAGCTCAGCACCTATTAAATCATCTTGTTAGTTTTTAAAGTGCTACATAGTTTTTCCTTTTGTTTTAGGTAAGAAGATGATGGAGAAGAGTGAAGATAAAAGGCAGATACTGATTCCTGATAAAAGCTGTATAAACAACAAGAAATCCTGTGGCACCTTACAGAAGAACAGATTTATTGGAGCATAAGCTTTCGTGGGCAAAGACCCACTTTGTCAGATGCACGAAGCTTATGCTCCATTAGACGTTAATCCATTCAAATTATAAAATAAACACCAAGTGCTGCTGTGGCTCATCATAAGTAATCATCACCTTTAAAAAATATTTTAAACTTAGATCTGTTAAGAAAAGAGCTTTACCCTAGCAGAATATTTTTATTTAAAAATAGAAATACAACTTTTTACAAAAATACCACTGTCAATAATTTTGTGGTGAAATTAACTTTATACATCTCTACATCTCTCTTTATAACTTACCTGAAAGTGATATTCTCTCAAGTAATAAAGATCTTCTAGCTCAAAATAACATTCTTTCCGTGTAATATTTTTTCCATCCCATTTCAATACGACTGTCTCACGTGGGCCATTTTTTGCACCTTTTTTACATTCAATGCGAATGGCATTATTGATGGGGTTACTTACATTGATATCCGTCACTGCACCTGGTTCTGTTTGTACATGAAATGACACAATTTTGTATTTTAAAGTTTTGGAACCAAACATTCAAGATATATTTTTACCAATTTTTAATTAATCCCTACCTGCATGTTTCACTGATATACTTGATATATTTCTCTACCTACTCCTGCCTCAGCAATAGTCAATAGTACTGTTCATATGCTTACAGTTAAGCATGTGCTTATATGCACTTTGTTAACGTGGTAAAGAGATCTGCCTGTGTTCCTGATATAATGATAAATGACACAGTCATTGCTCCATTTCCTCCTCCTATGATTCTGCACTTGGGAAACTGTTATAGAAAAAGGCTTGTGTCATAGGCAAAGACATCATACATGTGTGTGCACATGAGTCCGATAAACTGTGATGTATCATAATAATAAATAATACTCGAAGAGCTCAGTAAATACTGTATTTTATAAGGGTACGTAGAAAACCATGGCAGTAAATCTAGCATGTATTTTATTACCCTACCTGATATATATGTCACAAAAAAGGCATGCTAATGAAAAGTGGCAGTAATCCACATTCTGTATGGATAAATTTACCCCACTACAGAGAGCCAGACTGCAAGATTTCACTGTCACATAAAACCACTATTACAGGATTACGTCACGTGGAAGGGATGATGTACACCCTTCATTTGGGGTAAAATTTCTTTAAGTGAGTGGATTTTCTTGTCAAGATTATTTCAAAACTAGTATGAAATAAATTATCAGTAGCATCTTTAATTTTCATTTCAATGGAGAGTTGGTACGTGAGTTTTATGTAGTCTTCCCAGAAATTTGGAAAGCATTTAAGCAACTAGGCACATTACTGAAATAGAACTCCAGACTTAAGAAGCTTTTCTTAAGGAGGCTTGTTTGTGGGAAAAGGAAGAACACCATCCTACTGGTGATGTCTTTGCCAACCTATTAAAGAAAAAATGGTCCAATGAGGTTGTTCTCTCCTTGAGGACATAGTAAGGTACTGGAGGTCTTTGCCTGAATCACCCCATTGTGTTAGCAGCTGACAAATGTTAAGTAAGCTCTGCTGACTAAAGTAGATGGCGCTCTGCCTAAAGATGGGGGGGAAAATTGCCAGGCTAACAAAAACTGTATTGTACGTCTAGACTACAGAGCTTTTCCGGGATGTCTCGTCCAAGGAACGTGTCTGCTTTTTCTGGAAAAAAAGTTGGAAAAGTGGACACATTTTGTTGGCATCCCTGTAAATCTCATTTTACAAGGAAGAAGGGATAGTCCAAAAGAGGGTTTTTTTCTGACATTTGGCCCCATGTAGATGGGCCAAATATTGGAAAAACCTCTTTTTGAGGTAAATTGGAAAAAGATAAGCAATTTGTAATCTAGATACAGCCTATGTGAGTGTGTAGTGTTGTAGAAAAACAATTAAAATTTTTCATTTTCAAAATGAGCAGCCCCCCAAATTTTTGAGGAAAGTCTGAACTGAGCATTGTTCTCTTCTTATTCATTTCTTTGTTGGACTTAGGAAGGGAGCACTGAATTGAAATACAGGTTTGGTGTTCAGGCCTGAAACTATAAAGCTGTGGAAAAATCGTCAGATGGGATGCCTGACATTAAACGCTCAAGAGAGTAGCTTTGGAAGGCTCATACTTGTTACATGTTTTGCAATTCTAGCCTGGCTGTCAAGTAGAGGACACTCAAATAGTGGTAAAGATAGCCAGTAAACAGAGAAAGCAAAAAAGGCCCAAATAAGATAGTTAAAGATACAACGACACTGGATTTAGGTCAAACCAATACCAGTAAGTAGGGATGTAAATACCCCTTTAAAAAGTTAACCAGTTAAAAAGTTTAAGACTCACTGGTTTAAGACTGAGGAACACCAAACAATAATTTTTTTAATGAGGAACACCAAGGATTTTTCATTGAACAAAAAAGAAGGGGGGTGGGAGTGGGGAAAGTTACTGATCAAAAACACCCTGTGTTGTTCTCCGTGACACACCTCCAGCTGCCTCGTGGCACACTGCTGTGCACCACTGAGTTAAACAATATATTTTAAATAATTTAACTGGTTGATTTCAATATCTGGGCAGCCTGTCACGGGTGCAGGGGGTCTGCTCTGTCCAGCTGGCCGGGAATGTTCTGTGCTGCACTGAGGTGCTGCTCTGGCTGGCCAGCCAGGTGCTGCAGCACTGCTCTGGCCAGCTGGCTGGGATTCTGCAATGCTGTGCCACAGGAGCCTACTTTGGCTGGCAGGGCACTGCTACAGCCAGCGGGAGTCCTGCTGACCAGACCACAGCAGCAGGTGGCTCCTTTCCTCACAAAGCTCTACAATTAACCATCTCCAAGTATGAGGTAACAGGTTAACCTTTTACATCCCTACCAGTGAAACTAAAGGATCAAAGAGTTTTGGCTTCCTCAAAAGGAAGAGATCTGAGAGGGACATTTACTAGATCAAAGGAGATCATTAGTAAAACTGTCCATTACATTGCCTGCAGGGTGCCATCAGCTACTAACTACATTTTAGAACTTTATATATTGCAGATGACTCAGAGCCAACATGAAGACACAGGGACATCCCCTGATAGGATGATGTGCCTGGTGTGCTATATAACTGATGCCCATTTAACACTGTAATAGTATAAAAAACTCTTGTGGATCTTTTGTATCCCCTAGAAATCAAATCTCATTATCTCTAGATTCCTGCAATAAGTTTTTTTGCCTCTGCTCTGGTCCCTTCACAATAGGTTAAGGGGATAGAGTGAGATAACAGTCTTGAATACAGTTTGGGAGGAACTAAGGAAGATAGCTACAGTCTGTATTTTGAAGATTCCCTTCAGACCCTGACATAAAGGGTATACTGTAGTTAAGGCCTGGAAGGGAGATATCAGGGATGGCGTTGGAAAAGTAGGCATATGTTGGAGATAGCCACAGAACACATAGCTGTAGAGATTCTGGGAAGATTCAGTATACCATTGGCAACCCTGGGAAACTGCTATAAACTCAGAAAGGTCTTCTGGGGTTTTTATACCATGCCAGTGGTGATTCAGCCTAAGGAGCCACTCGAATGGGAAGGAGGCTGAGATGGTTTAAAAACTTCTACATAGCATTTAGAAGCACAGCACAGAATCTCACTGCTAATCTGTTGCTCTCTCCTCTTTTCCAGAAGATCTAAGATCGATAAGGGACTTTTAATTATTCCTAGCTATCAAAAGGAAAAAAAGGCACTTCTTCAAAGTCTCATAACAGCAGTAATGATGTAAAATAGACTGTCCTATATGTTTGTTCTCTAAAAAGAAAAATCAGTTACCAGAATTAAATTTAATTCAATTCATTCAGGAACTTTTCAATTAAGAGGGAAATTACTGTTAATAATAATACTGTTAATACGGTAGAGAAAAAATATTCATATGAACTTTGTATTTCTTTTATGTTTTTGGATAATGATAGGAATTAAAACCGTGGGAAAATAATTTTTCAAGAAAAGGTTTTAAAGACAGATTCTCATTTAACACTTCTGGCTTGAGATGCAAGAGGTGGCATAGCAAACACTAACAGGAGTTTTCCATGATAGCTTTTCTAAGCTACTGGACATTAACACTGGTCAATCTAAGCACAGAAGGATGAAGAGAAGAAGAAGAAAGACAGCAAAAGGAAAAGAGAATCCAGAACTGCAGAAAGTTGAAAGAAACTATGGTACATAAAAAGAGGATTCTGAGCTTTATGACAAGAAGCAGGAATAGTTTGGAACTTTTAAACAATAACGAGAACAGTATTATATTCAAGACACTACCAACCATCAGGTTATGTTGTCTTTCTCTGCTTAAGGCAAAATGACACAAAAGTTAAAATACCTTTCAGTAATCTACAATAGCACATACAGTACTGCTGCCAGGGATGAACTGACAGTAGCAATGGTAGGAAACTTTTGCAAACAATTCCTCATGTAAACCTAGTCGAAAAGATGAAGGAAAAAGACAGATAGATGGGAAAAGGTTGATACCCTAAAAGTAGGGAAGGGTTAAAAGCTAGAGAGATACTGTGGAAGTAGAGCATAAGCCCTACACTGAGGTGGGCAAGGTCAAAGAATCCAATCTAGCTAACTGTACCTAAGAGTCACAGAATGCAATTTAATTTCATTTTTTTACTAGTATTGTGGCACAAAAATTAAATATATCATAGGGCTCAACAAATTAGTCAATCTACTTGCCCAGGGCGAGTAAATTTTAAGCCAGAACAGCGCTGGAGTGCGATCAGTGCATGCGCAATACAACCTGCGCATGCGCAGTGTGCCAAATTGTGCGGCTGGCAAGCGGCGCTCGCCACCGCTTGTCAAGCCCTGAATATATGTATATGCTTTAAAAAAAAAATCTTTGCATTTTGTATTACATTTTAAAAGTTCTTGCATAAAAAAATCTTTAAAATAAAAAAAATTAATTTCCATGAAAGACCTTTTAAAATGTCAGTATTACACAACACAATGTAAACAACATTGTAGTAATTCTATGTACTGAAAGCTTAATCAGAACTAAACATAAGATGTGAATATCAAAACAGTCTGATCTAAACGTTTAATTTATTGTAAATTGAGTGGTAATAAATTCATAACTAGTGATACAAGTGACAATGAGAATGTTTGTATTCATATAATAACTCTTTGTATTTCCCAAAGAAAGAAACTTACTTGATGACTTTGTGTAACCATCATAAATCAAAGATGTCCCCAAAAGTGTTTCATTTCTCAAATTATTGGTGTATGCTATAACTTGGATCTTGTAGTTTGTGTAAGGTTTATATCCTGTACAGCTGTAAAAAGTGGTCTTATTTCCAAGTTTCTTGTCTGTTTTTTTAAAAAGAAAGGTTAAGTTAGACTTTCATACTTTGAACAATATTTCTGTCACCAAAAGATGGCCAGTAAAGGTACTGGAATACATGTAATAGACAAGTTGTGGACTAAACTGGCCAGAGGGGTTATATTCCTGACCCCCATCAGCTGGTGATCACCTTGGATATGTCTAGACTGCATCCCTCTGTTATCAGAGGGATGCAGATTAGGCAGGTTGACATTGCAAATGAGGCAGAGGTTTAAATATCTCGTGCCTAATTTCCATAAAAATGGCTGCTGTGTTTTGCCGACTCAGCACTTTGTCGGCAAAAAAGTGGAAGTCTAGAATGGGATCTGTCAAGGAAGAAAGCCTTATGCAGGAGGCATAAGAGATATGTTGAAAAAGGCTTTCTTTCTCAACAGATCCCCTCTAGACTGCTGCTTTTTGCCAACAAAGTGCTGAGTTGGCAAAACGCAGAGGCTATTTTTATGCAAATTATGCGCGGGATATTTAAATCCCTGCCTCATTTGCATCCCTCTGCCGACAGAGGGATGCAGTCTAGACATACCCCTTGTGTCTTGCAACATGCTTATATTTTTAGCTTATATACTGTAAATATTTTCATTATCACCGCATAGCACACACATACTTACAAAATGAAAAGTCCAAGCAAAACAGAGGGCTGCTAATGATATCTTAATTAGGCCCCATCTTGTACATGTCGTGTCCCTCCTCCACCTGGATGCCTGCCTTATTCATTGGGTGGTTAGCTATTAGATATTATTTTTTATCCTCATTGAGGACTGAGGCACAGATCACTTAAGACCAAAATCATCAAGTGTGCATTTATTCTGGGTGACCAACCTGAAAACCCTAGGGACTGATCTTTCAGAGTATTTAGCATTTGTATAGCAATTTATAGTTTCGAAGGACGAGCTACCATTGACTTCAGTTCTAATTATAAACATTCACTATTTCAGTACATCTAGCCATATGGTGTTTTATATTGGACAGTCAGAAAATGAGGAGAACACAATTAGTGGTTGCCTATGAAAATATCTGGTCAGACTGTGGCTGGCAGAACATTCTACAGTGGTAAAAAACAATAAAGAAGACTCACTCTAGGAGCATGAACCATCATTCCTTAGTCCTTAACTCACTCCCTGACCTCCCTGTAGGCCTTCATGAATGGCTTATGAAACTTCAATTTCCCTTAAATACTTTGCATCGTGTCACTATCGTCAGTGCTATGAAACTATGCTGACCAGCATGGAGGAAGGCAAGGAGCAATTATGTACTGACGTAGACTCTATAATCAGATCAATCTCTGTACCTCTGTATATGACAAACATCCTGTTGGAAAAATTTAGAAAACAATCAATAGTCTAGTAGCACCTTAAAACTTCTTTGGTGAGTTATGCCCATGAAAGCTCATGATACCTTCTACATGTTTGGTTAGTCTTTAAGGTGCTACTGGACTATTCATTGTTTTTTAAGTTTTCTACTTACAGCAAGAGACTCGGCTACAGTAACTCGGCTCTGAAGATTTTCATCCTGTTGGGAGACTTTAGCACTAGAGCTGGTAGAGACCATGGCTAGAGAGGCATGATAGGATGTCATGGAGTGCTATAGATGAACAAAAATGGACTCCTTTTCTTGGGTAACTGTGCAGAACACAGTCTGCTCAGCACTAACACCATCTTTAGGCAAAATGATAAATATAGAACAATATAGAACAATGCCACAGTCCAAACAATGGCAACTGATTGGCTATGTTATCAGCCACCAATGAGACATTCTTCTTTTTCTTTGCCCTTAACTCCTTTGGGAGCATAGGCCATCAACAATTTCTTTCCAGGCTTCTCTCAATGAAACATTCACAACATTAGAATTACCAGATCATGCATGGTGCCAAATGCTGGACAGACCTCTGATTAGTAACAGTGGTGCTGAACATACATATCTTTCCTTCAGAGTGCATGCATCCAAAACATAATCATAGACCCATAAAATACTGGAACTGGAAGGGATCTTGAGAGATCATCGACTCTAGTCCCCTGCTCTCACAGCAGAACCGTCTATATAACCCCTGACAGGTATCTGTCTAACTTGCTCTTAAATATTTCCAGTGATGAAGATTCCACAACCTCCCTAAGCAATTTATTCCAGTGTTTAAAATCCTGATAGTTAGGAAGATTTTCTAATGTCCAACCTAAACTCCCCTTATTGCAATTTAAGCCCACTGCTTCCTTGTTCTGTCATCAGAGGCCAAGGAGAAGTTTTCCACACTCCTCGCTGTGACACCCATTTAGATATCTGAAAATGGCTATCAGTCCCCTCTCTCAGTCTTCTCTCTTTCAAACTAAATAAGCCCATTCCTTCTGCCTTCCTGTATTTTCTTGACTTTTAATCATATTTGTTACTTTCCTCTTCACCCTCTCCAATTTCTCCACATCTTTCTTGAGATGTGGTGTCCAGAACTAGACACAATACTCCAGTTGAGGCTTAATCAGTGCAGAGCAGAAGAATGACTTATCATGTCATTAATACTCCTGTTAATGCATCTCAGAATCATGTTTTATTATTTGGCAACAGTCTCACACTGTTTACTCACATTTATCTTGTTGTTCACTATGACCCCTAGATCTATTTCAGCAGTACTCCTTCCTAGACAATCACTTCCCAGTCTATATGTGTGAAACAGAATATTCCTTCCTAAGTGGAGTACTTATTAAACTTCATCCTATTTTCCTCAGACCATTTCTCCATTTTGGCCAGATCATTTTGAATTATGACCGTATTCTCCAAAGATAGATAACAGAATAGCTTTCAACACAGTAAAACTGAAGCACACCAATTATCCGATGAAGTTTCGGTAGTAACTTGACAACAAAGCTTTGTTCATGCCCATCAATCACTGGCAACCCATCAGGAAAAGGAAACCAATTTAAACAACTAAATCAGCTGTATGAGCGCTGTAGCCAAAGGAAGTGGTACTCCAGGTTTGAGTCAATGAGAATGAGGACATCTCCAAACTCTAAAATGACAAGCAAAAAGCATTTGTTGAATGTCAGAATAATTTCACTTCCATCTCAAAGAAAGATCAGTTTAGGTACCTACAGAATTAAGTCCAGTCTCAAACAAGGAGAATGCAGGATGTATGATGAAAGAGGAAAGCCGCGGACCTCTAGCACTACACAGATACAAATAACACAAAGGTGTTCTTTGACTCTCTCAGAGTAGTCTTTGGAACATCTAAATCTGGCATAGGTCCCTTAAAGTCAGCAGACGGCCAGGAGCGGCTTGAGGCTGGCTGTAGCAAGTGGTGCCCCAGGCACAATCGGTGCCCCCACCAATGGCCGTGATGTAATCACAGGGCACCAGGGGCCCCCGTGATGTCATCGTTGGGCGCCTGGGCCAGCAGAGCCCTAGGCAACCACCTAGTCTTCCTAGGCTCATGGACAGCCGCTGCAGATGGTACGACCCTCATCAAAGACAAAAAGGGAATCATATAGCAGTGGGATGAGCACTTCAAGAGTTTACTCAAACAGACCGTCCACAGTCTATCGGAATGGCTTTGGCCTTTCACTTGAGAAACCCATCAGAGAGGCTCTTGATCCCCCTCATCAGTGGAGAAAGTTATAAAAGCCATTAACATCTGTACATTAACACCTGGCAAAGTATCTGGAAAGGATGTTATCCCAGCAGAATTGTATAAAAAAGCAGGCCCAGTGGCTACTGAAGGGTTTCTAGACATCATGCATAGCCTTTGGAAGGAAGAAGCAATGCCACAAGACTTCAAAGATGCTATTACTGAAACACTTTTAAAAAAAGACAGCAAAGCTGACTGTAGAAACCACAGAGGCGTTGTTCTCCTCTGTACAGCAGGCAAAATACTAACTTGTAGTCTACTCAATAGACTCATTGCAAACATATCTGAGGAGAATCTGCCAGAAGCACAGTGGATTTTAGTCCAGGTCATAGTACAGTGGACATGAACATCCTTGTAAGGCTGATCCAGGAAAAAAATGTTTAGAGTAGGACATGGAGCTCTAGTCAGTTTTCATCAATCTGACTAAAGCTTTTGATATGGTCAACAGAGGGCCTATAGGCTATTCTACATAAACTGGGCTGCCCAAGAAGTTTCATGCAAATTATCCATTTGTTCCATGACTACATGATAGTGCAAATACTCACCAGTGGTGACTTTTCTGATGCATTTAAAATCTCAAATGGAGAGGAACACGGCTGAGCACTTGTTCCAATGCTATTCATCTTCTTCTTTGCTTGTGCTCTCTGCCATGCATCAAGGCATTTGGCTCACACAGGGCTGGCCCGAGCTATTCTGGCTCTGTGGGCCCTGCGCGCATGGCGCCGCCCCCGGAGCGTGAGGCACCGCTCCCAAGCACATGATGCATGCGTGGGCCCACCCCTGGGGCACGCAACGCATGTGCGGGTCCACCCTAATCACATGGCCCCACCCCCTCACGCATGCGCAGTGTGCCTGGGGCAGAGCCGCATGTGTGTCATGCTCCCAGGGACGCACTTGTGCTGCGCTGCCCAGCCTGGCCCAGACACCACCACTGGCGTGTAGCATGGGATCGGCTGTGCTTGGCTGTGCAGGGCCCCGCAGCCATGAGGGGAAGGGCACTGCTGGCCGGTGCTGTGGGGGTTAAGTGGGTCCCACCCCAGGCAGCCGTTACAGCATGGCCACTGGGAGCTGCTGCAGCCTGCCAGGAGCTGGGCGCACGGTGCCTTATAGCAGCTATAAGGGGTACTGCATGTCCCAGACTGCTGCCATCAGTCACCCCCCACAGGTTGGCACCCGGGCAGATGCCTGGCTAGCCCATTCCTCAATCCGGCCCTGGGCTCACAGGATATACATTTGCTACCAATTTGACGGCTCTTTTTTTGATCTTGGAAGACTCAATGCTAAGATCAAGATACTTCTCCTCAAGGCACTTTCTGCATATGACTGTGCTTTGATGGTTCATACACAAGATGTGGAAACTACAGAACTTGAACCACCAGGAAAAAAAACAACCTTTCATTGGTGGCATCTGACTCACACCTTGAAAATGAACATGCATCAGTCCACACTGCTTTGGACCATTATCAAGCAGAGCCCATCATCAACACGGACATATGTCCTCTGGAATGATGGCTGAAGCATGAAGCGACATATAAATCCTTAGCACATGTGGTACCTTGCAATGTAGGCTACAAAAGTGCCATATGAACACTTTGCCTCATTTTCAGGTGATATTGTAAATAAGAAGCAGGCAGTATTATCCCCTACAAATGTAAATAAACTTGTTTGAGCAATTGGCTGAACAAATAGGACTGAATGGACTTGTAGGTTCTAAAGTTTTACATATTATTTTTGAGAGCATTTTTGTAAATTACAGTTGTAAGTTCAACTTTCATGATAAAAAGATTGCTGTAGAATATTTGTAGTGGGAGAACTGAAAAATAGAATTTATTTTGTTTTTACAGTGCTAATATTTGTAATAAAAATGAATATAAGGTGAGTATTGTACACTTTGTATTCTGTGTTGTAGTTGAAATTAATATTTTTGAAAATGTAGAAAACATACAAAAATGTTTAATAAATGGTGTTCCATTACTGTTTAAAGATTAATTTTAATTTCCTGATGAATCATGATTATTTTTTTACTCACTTGACAGCTCTAGAAATAAGGAAAAAACTGGCTGAGATTCTGTGCTACACTTCCAGGAAGCACAGCACATGAAAAGCGGGGAATAGGTGTTTTAAAGGCACCTTCCTGCTTTATCTGGACTGCTCTGGGGCTCAGTTCATCCTCCAGTATGTTTATAGCCCCCTATGCACCACTGAGCAGTTTAAAGTGGCTATACCAGGAGGTGAAAACTTTCCCTTTAAAGCAAAATAAAACTATTTGTTCTGCCCTATTTTCCTTCCTCTTTCATTTAAAATAACCGGATTAGAAGTTCTTCCTTTTAAAGCTAGCTAAATGCTGAAGTGTTCACAAATTCTATTGCCAGTTATTTGGTTTCCCTCACACCCACTGCACTCCACTTCTTCCCTTCTCTCCTCAGTCTTATGAAACTGACTTGGGAACATAAAATCAGCTCCCAAATTCACAAATGCTATCACGAGTCTTCAAACTACTATGTTCTCTCCTAGTCTAGCTAACTCTGTTCAAAAATGGCTCAGCTGCATTAGTTAAACTATAAACCCTTGAGGAGGAATCCTTTTTTTCTTGTATTTTCATAGTAACTGATTAAATTGGGTCATGATCTATGATTAAGGTTCCTAGATACTACCCCAGTATTATTAATAAATAATTAAGATGAAGTTTAAGGCTAGAACCTGAACTAGAAACTGATATGGTTTCAGGTGCAATTTCTTAAAAACAGAGTCTATAAATATTAGGAGGTAAACAAAGTCTGACAGGTATACTACCACATATAATTTCTGAGCAACCCCTACTAATTCTGATACAATGGGGTCCTTTGAAAGCTTTCTGTGTGCATACCTTCTAATCCATTGTCTTGTTCATCTCAGGATCATTCATATTTCTCCTCCCTCTCCATGATTCCAATATCAAATCCATTCTTCTCTCTCTCTCTCTCTCTCTCTCGTGTTTGGGTTCAGTTACCTAGCTTCACAGTAAGTGTAGGCTACTGCCACACTGGGTTCAGTTTAGACAGAGGCAAGTGTTAGGAAGACCCACATGTTTTTGTCAGACTGTTGATTGCCAGTGGGTCGTTCCAGGTAGGTGTACTGCAGATGTATTTCATGAAATTATAAGCAGTCTCATGAGCTTTTAATGGCAGCAGACAAGACCAGAGTTGATTTCAGGATGAAAACAAATGAGGCAGCAATTAAGCAGGAACACTGGGCTGTGTAGTCTTGTGGCAATGATCTTTCCCTCTGATGAATTAACAGCTAGAGGTCTTAACTAGCTATTTCAAACACATTTTTCCATAGTGCCCAAGTTTGGGAGCAGATTAGATGTCCAGCACACTTGCTGGTTGTAGAATAATAAAGAGGTATTTTTGATGGGAAATCAACATTCCTAGCTATCTCAGAGATACCACTGATTTCCTGAGGAAATTACAAAACATCAATAACCTCCCTGATAAAACCATCTTTGCCACCATGGATATAATCTAACTGGCCACTCCCGTAAAGACCTGGCAACATCTATCTTTCTTCAAAGAGATTTTAACACCAGATTACAGAGAGAGACTTCAGAACTTTTATTCATGCTTAAATTCAACAAGGTACGAATGGGCCCTAATAAAGATGCTAATTACCTTGCACATTACAAAGACAGCCTCCCCACCTGTTGATAATTGTAGTAACTCCAGATTAGCCACTTATTGATTTATAATAAACTATTTCCTCCTTCCTTCTTTCTTCCTTGCCCCTCACTCCCAACTTCTGTTCTAATATCTGGTTAGATATTAGATATTTACTTTCTTCATTGTATTCCTTTGTTATATATGGTCATGACAATTCACTTTCAGAATATGATGTAAAGAAGTGGATTTGCCCCACAAAAGCTCATCACCTAATAAACTATCTTATTAGTCTTTAAAGTGTTACATATTTTTTCTCTAGTTGTAAAGAGAACCATGTTACATATTTTTTCTTTAGTTGTAGAGAGAACTAGAGTAAACAAACAACATGTCTTTTGGGTACCTTTGTACCCAAAGTCTATATAAATTATAAAAGAAGTAGAAATATTAAACTAGTTATGCTGTGTGTGAGAAGACTGAAAGACAATAAAAATTACTATAGATAGATAGATAGATAGATAGATATAATATTTTCTTTATTTTCCTTTATGAAAAATAATTTCTAGGAGGAAGAAAATGAGGTAAAACATTACCTAGCCTCTCCCTACAAAGATCTCTTCATTTTTAAAATTATACTTATAATCCATACTGTAATATGGCACCTTAGAGACTAACATCAATACATATATACATATAATCATGAGTGTTTGTGAGCAAAACCCACTTCCTCAGATGAGTTTAAGTGGAGCTCACCTCCTTCTAAAACTCGAAAATATTATTTAGTTGATTATTGGTCCACATCGTTCTGTTGGTTGAGTGCATTCTACTTTCATCACATTGCTCACAACTGTTCCAAGACGGGCCCCAATAGCTTATTAGTGGATATTGTTGTTTTGTCCTATTGTTGAGTTCCTTGACTTTCTCAAAATACATGATAGCTATCTTTGGTGAATCTAGCGGACTAGCTCAACTGTGAACATTTTGATATAAAAATAAATTACATGGTTGAATTGATAACATTTCCAAGGAAAAAAATGTAGAGAAGTGATTATTACACATAAACTATTATGTGTTTTATGGTAGTGCCTAGAGCAGGGGTGGGCAAAAGGGCCTCCGCAGGCTGGATCCAGACCACCAAGCAGATTGGTACCGCCCATGTTGGTCCTGCTGCTCGCCCGACCCCCAGACCAATAAAGGCGTGGGGCTGGGAAGTGTATGATGCCTTCTCCCATCCTGTCAGGCGCACACAGTACTTTGAAAAGCCATGCGCTACTGGCAGGGTGGGAGCAGATGTCATGCACTTCCCCAACCCCAGGCCATGATTGACCTGGGAGTGGGTGGAGCGTGTAAAGTTTCCTCTGCCCTCCTCTCCACCCTGCGAGGAACTCGCGGCACTTCAAAGTGCCACACACTCGCGCAGGGCGGTGCCAGGACATATGAAGCTTCATGCAGTTTCCCCACCCCCAGGCGCTAATTGGCCTGGGGGTGGGGGAGCACATAAAGCCTGCTCCCGCCCTACGAGGAGCACATGGTATTTTGAAGGCCTGGGGGTGGAGGAGTGCGCAAAGCCTCTTGCCCTGCCAGGGGCATGGGTGCCTAGTGGAAAAGGGGAGGCAAAGGGGCTCTCCCACCCCCAGACCAATCATGGTCTGCTGGTGGGGAAGCCCAGAAGCATCCTGGCCCCGCCCCCTTATGTTTTAGGCCCCACCCCTTTTGGGGTAGCCCAGGACCACTTCAAAAATTTTTGTACTGGCCCCTGGCCAAAAATTATTGCCCACCCCGGCCTAAAATTATTGCCCACCCCTGCCTAGAGTCTCTATTAAATGATCAGGGCCTCATTGTGCTAAGCGTTGTACATAATGTACAAAACTCATAATTAATCTATGATATGTGGCAATTATAAAAAATAAAGAAACACTTGCCTTCAGATTGATTACATTTCACCATATAGCCATGAATAGGGCCTTTTGATGTATTTGATGGTTCTTTCCATTTAATGAATACACTTGTACTATTCGTTTGTTCCTCACCATATTTTTCAGGTTTGTCTGGTGCTGTTACAAAAAATTAAGAGAGAGGGAATAACACTGTTTTAATGAGGAAGCTATTATTTTTCAAATGATGAAAGCTCAGAACATTTGACATGAAAAATATGCATTTTATAGCAGCATTTGAAAAATATTTGCTGTAATTAATATTTTTTGGAATATTAGTACAAGAAACCAGCAGGAGATACCATTGTGAATAATAATGTACATAGTTCATTAAATTCTAATTTATTTTACACAAATGAAGGGCATACACAAACTTTAGAAATTAAATATTTTTAAATTAAAACATTAACAGCTTGGGGTACTTCTATACTGCATGGCTATTTCAGAATATCATGAAGCTACCTTGCATCTACACAAGCCTGTTATTTCAAAATATTTTCCAAAATAATGGACATGTTATTTCGCCATCCTGGTAAACTTAATTGCACACACCTGGGCTGTGTCTAGACTGGCCATTTTTTCTGGAAAATCAGCCGCTTTTCCGGAAAAACTTGACAGCTGTCTACACTGGCTGCTTGAATTTCCGCAAAAGCACTGACTTCCTCCTGTAAGAAATCAGTGCTTTTTGCGGAAATACTATGCTGCTCCCGTTCGGGCAAAAGTCCCTTTTGCGCAAAACTTTAGCGTAAAAGGGCCAGTGTAGACAGCTGAGATTTGTTTTGCGCAAAAAAGCCCCGATTTGCGCAAAAAAGCCAATGGTGATTGGGACTTTTTTGCGCAAACGAGCATCTAAAGTGCTTTTGTGAAAAAGCTTCTGTGCCAATCTAGACACTCTTTTCCGAAAATGCTTTTAACAGAAATCTTTTCCATTAAAAGCATTTCTGGAAAATCATGCCAGTCTAGACGTAGCCCTGGAAAACTTAATTGTAGACACACCAAATTTCAAAACTAGCTATTTCGGAATAGACTTGAAATAAGAGACGCAATTTTCAAATTTAGAGTGCTATGTAGACGAACCCTCAGAGAATAAGCATGAATTTTGTAATAACCAGTGTAATGTGGCAATTTAAGAAACAGGAAAAATTAGAAAGGTATTTGTATGTGTGAATCACCTGAGCAATTAGTACATAAATTAAAATGGAATAAAAAATACAGTGATTTTAAATAATTAAGAGAAAAAATGTATGTTAAATTTCAAAAGTGATTGGATGTGGGAGTATTCTTGTTGTGTTCAATTGTAACTTGGCTTTTTGAACATATTTTGCACATTGTAAGTTTGCTAAGTAATGTGAGGATTAAGAATTCATACCAATGAGACATAATACTTGGAAAGAGAAACAGCCCATTTTCAAGAATCATAAAATGTGAGAGATGTGAAATGCTTGTTTTGGAGGGTAATTTATAACAAATGGACTTATATAAATGGAAGAAAGATTTGTAATAAAGGGATCCAAAATATCTGGAACCAAAAATTGACTAGGAATTCAGCCAACAAGAAAATGTGTCAGTGGTATTACAATGAGATCTTTTCAAAGCATTGGTGTTGACCAAAGAGGCTATACATATAATGGCAGACCTGTTGCAGGCCTAGGAGACTATCTAAGGAAATGTTAAATTATATAAGGCAACATAGTTGAATGTGGGGATGGGCAATAATTTTTGACCAGGGGCCACATCAAACATTTTTAAAGTGGCTCCAGGCTTTAAGGAGTGAGGCCTCAGACAGAACGGGAGGAGCCAGGACAATTCCATGCTCCCCTGCCCAATGACCCTGATTGGTCTGGGGATGGGGTTGTGTGTGAAGTCTTTGCCCCTGCCCCCCAGAAAATACTTCCAGCTGTGCCCATGCCCCTGGTGGTGGAAGGAGATTTTGCACACTCCCCTTACCTCCAGGTCAATCAGGGTCTGGGGGAAGGGAGGAGCCCACGAAGTCTGCCCTTGCCCTGCAAGAGACTCACTTAGGGTATGTCTAAACTACATGGCTCCGTTATTAGGACTGTAGACATCATGGGATGAGGTTTATCAGGGCGGTCAACAAAGGCTTTTGATGTCGACCACCGAGCGTCCAGACTCCCACACTGTGCTGACAAATAGCTAATCGGCACAGCGCGGCAGCCATTTTGATGTAAATGAAGTGGAGATTATTTAAATCACCACTTTATTTTCCTGTGTCTACAACCCTAATCTACATGGCTTCGTCAACGGAGCCATGTAGTGTAGACATACCCTTAGAGTCATCCACCAGCTAAGCACTGACTCTAAGGGTATGTCTACACTACCCCGCTAGTTTGAACTAGCAGGGTAATGTAGGCATACCGCACTTGCAAATGAAGCCTTTTTTGTGGGCATTAAAGACTGTCTTTTCAAGGTGAGATGATCCCATGTACACCGTTGCAGGGGAGTTAAACAGTCAAAAGACAGACTGAAAAAAACATGATTTGAAGTTTTAAAAAATCTCATGATGATTTGTGGGGCCAACTTCATGCTTTTTGGGGGTCCAACTCATGATTTTTTATCTCTTGAGGTTGGCAGCACTGGAAAATTGACACATAGTGCAAAGAGGCTTGAAAGTGGGGATGTGGGCAGAAAGGAGGAGAGCGGAGGCAAGGCGATATTGTGAGGATGATGGTACTCTGTGAAGGGATCTCCTCTCATGGCACTGGAGAGGCGTGACAGTATTTGTTTGACAGAGAGAGGGCCAGGGAGGTATATGAGGGTATGTCTACACTACCCTCCTAGTTCGAACTAGGAGGGTAGTGTAGACATACCCAAAGTGACTAACTCTAAGCATGGAGCCCCTTGCAGGGTGAGAGGAGACTTTGAGTCATTTCCGCCTTCCTCAGACCCTGATTAGCCTGATGGAGCACAAAGTCTCTTATTTCCTTCCCTCCGGCTCATGGCACTGATTGGCCTATGGGCAGGAGAGTAGCAGGATCTCCATGGGCCAGATCAACCCACTCGGTGAGCCAACTCCGACCTACAGAGGCCCTTTTGCCCATCCCTGATCCAGTGAGTAGTTCATTGTACTGGCTGGCATCAGGAGATCTGTGTTCTATTCTCAGCTTTATCACTGACCTGCTGTAATGTTTAGCAATTCACTTTATGTTTTTGTGTCTGTTTCCTTTCTGACTTTTTCAATGCACTGTCTATTCAGATTATAGGTTCCTCAAGACAGGGACTGTCTCACTTATTTTCTATACGGTGTCTAGCACACTGGTAGCCCTACTCTAAATTGGCGCGTGTCTTTATCATAGTACAAATAATAGATAGTTGTGTTGAATGTTTAGGAATTTCAACCTTGTTTTATTTTAAAAAATAGGATGGTCTGTAATATATTTGTTTATAAATCAATATAAAACATATTTCTCAAAATGGTTTTCAACATTGTCTGATAATCATTTTAAAAACTTTTTTTGATAATTTTTTCATGGAATCTGTTTTGGGTCCATATTTAATATTAATTCAATATAACAACTATTACATGTATTTCAATTATTTCAAAATGTACAGTTAAAAATAGTTATATTGAAGTTTGCCTCACTTTCAGAAAAAAGTATGTGCCATTGGGAAGGAGTGAAGAGAAGAGGGTTTGGCCAACAAGAGGTTAAACAAAGCCTTTTGGACCAGCTAGCCCCATCTCACTTTACCTGTAGCCAATGTCAGGACTAGAGGGAGATAAAAGGAAGGAGCTTGGCTCAGTTAGGAGCTGACAAGCAAAGAGACAGGAGCATAGTTCTGTGGTCTGCAGGACAGGAACCAAAGCCCGTCTATTTGGACAGCCACTGGGACAAGTAAGCCTCCAAACCCCACCCCCACCCCGAGACAAAGAGGGAAACCTGCTAGAACCCTAGCTAAGGGGAAAATCTGTACTCTTGGGACCATGCCCCAAACTTAAGGACTATATTCATATAGTGGATTGGAGTTTCTAGGCTGGGGTACCAGTGACAAGGTTCTGCACTGCTTTCCTACTGGCTAATTCTAGAATCTAACCACTAGGCTACCTCCCCCTCTCCCACTGCCAGGGAGATCTGGCCACAATTATCTTCTACAGCCTTTATACCTATATCCATGTTCTGCAGAAATAAAATTGTTTTATTTCTGTTTATAGAATTCAAAGTGTACCAATTTGTGAGTGAAGAGAGGGGGATTTCAAATTTCATTTTTTTCCATTTTTTAAAAAATGGAATCTTCTGATATTTAAAAATGTCAGGAAATGGAAATGGCATTTCAGCCATTTTTGAAGGAAAAAGCTGAGGGGGGAAAAGGAAAAAGGAAAAAAAGGGAAAACAAACAAACAAAAATGAGAGGAATTAAAGGGAAACATGGAAAAGGAGACGGAAGGGAAGAAAAAAACCTAAATATTAAAGGAAACAATTTAAAAGACAAAAATTATTGTCAACAAATAGAATACATATTTTGTTTTCAGATTGTCAAAAATATCAACTCCCACAAGAATTTCAAAAATTTAAATATTTTTCATTGCATAAAGAGGTAATTTTAACTCCCAAAAATGTTAAAAATATGTGATTTGCTGTACAGTGAGTTTAGCTCCTGAAATGGACATACCTACCAGAGACATGCATTGTTTTCCATTTTGTTTTAATAAAATTAAAGAAAATATTATACTTACGTCCATAATCTGTTGTTATATTTGCTTTATCTTTTTTTATTTCCATGTTTGTATTAAAGATTATTTCTGAAGTACAGCTGTACATAGTATTGGCTTTTAGACTGGTCAGTGTTACAGAGTTATTCTGAGTCCTTAAAAGATTAAACCCTGAATTAAAATGAAAGATTTATTAACATTTTCACATATCCAAAGTCGCTGGTATTTTATGTATTTCCTTTTCACTTTGGCTAATTAAAAAAAGCAAGTAAATACTCCAGTTACGGTATCTTCATATTAATACAGTTGCACAGTATCCACTCATATTTCAGACTAAGAACACTATTTTGCTTTTAATTGACATACATGTATCCTTATTTCCTCCATATTCTCTCTGAGGCCAAAGAGACATATTTGCAGCAATAAATTCTGGTCAGACACAATTCAAAATACATTCTGGACCAGCCTCTTTCTCAGTGAAGATAATTTATACAATTGTGTATTGTATTTTTATTTAATTTTAATTACAGATATTTTAATATAACCAAGGAATTTTTTAGTATTCAATATAAAAATAATTCATGCCAATCCTTATACTCAGTCAAGCACAAACCTCAAAAGTCTGAAAGGTTCAACATAGTTAAAAGCTAAAATGTCTCAAAGATTATCTGAGCTTTGAGATCAAGCTCATTATTCTTTCCTGTCTAGCTGCTTCTTTTCTCATAACTCAGCAAGATCAAGTCCCTTCCTTTAAACTCTTCTGTTCTTAATTATTTCCTTCCCCTTCTCTTCCATGTACATCCAGCTTTTTCTTAGTTCCACAGCCTGCATGAACTCCTTTCTCTGTAGTACTTCAAAGTGGCCCTCTCTGAACAGCAGATTACAGGGAAAGGACAAAGACCAGGAGATGGTTTCCAGAGGCAGTAGGGACTAGGTGTGGATGTTTATCATCTGCTTCTTCTTGGATGGATATTTTGAAAGGCTGGGAGAGCCAGAGATTACCTGTGCTATGCCTGTTATTATTACTTTTGTGAAGTGCTTGAGCAGGCCTTTCTAACTCCTTGGTAACGGCAGTGAATCCCTCCTTCTGCAATACGGATTATGAAGAACTTCTCTCTCTATCAGTTGGGCTACATTCTTCCTATTGGTGCCATGAGGGATTCCTCACAGATCCCTCTCAGCTGTCAGCAGTGGGCCATAATCATCTCTCCCCTTACAAATTTTATTCTAACCATGCATATTGGGAAGGCTCCTTTCATCCTCACTATCACTTTCTTACCAAATGATGAGTGAGAAAAATGTGAGGACAACACCACATTGGAAGATGTGTACCTTCTCAATGCTTTTCACCAAACAATTAAATATATGTCATTTCAAAAAGTATCAATTTAAGATTAGATAAGAAACGGGTATGAATCAATATGAGACAGACAAGGTATATGAAGTAATATATTTTACTGGGCCAATTTTTGCTGGTGAAAAGGACAAGCTACAAGTGTTCTTTTTCAAGTGTGGAAGATCTAACCAATCTCCAAACTAAATACAAAGTGGGATATATTATTAAGCAGAATGCGTTCACACGTGTTGTACAAGGTCAATTAATGGGAAATGAGTAATTAATGCATCTGTAGCCCTTTAACAATGGAAGTTTAGCAACACAGTATATTGAAAATTGTTGTAAAAGTGCATGCAATCCATGTCTCTTTTATATGTATGTTTTTAGTGTCTAGCAGAGATGTGAATTAAGTTCCTTAGCTTGTCTGTTGAACTTTTTGTTCATATCTGGTATTATGAGAAGATTCCAGAAGACTTGAAAAATGCTAACATTTTTACAGTCTTTAAGAAAGGAGGCAAGTCAGAGTGTGGAAACTGACAGGCAGTAAAGTCCAACACAGGATGCAGTGTGCTAGTTCTTCCTTTGGGAAATTGTTGCAATGTGTTTTCATGTGCTGAGACCTTATAGCAGGACACTAAGATCCAGGTCTACAAGAACTGGATGTGATGTGAAACCTGGGTAGCCTACTGACATCCTATTCTCTGGAATCTGGAGAAGTACCAAAAATGATGCCTCCAGAAGATCCTTCACATCAAGTGGCAAGATCACTATACTAACACCAGGATCTTCACTGAAGCAAATGTCACAAGCTGGGAGGAACAAGCCACCAACCAAACCCACTGGCACCATATCCTCCATCAGTCAATGACCCACTTTGAGGAAAAGCACCTTGCCTTTGAAAGTGAAAAGAAAGATGGACGGGAAGAAGAAAGAACTTTATCCTAGCAACAACTAGCCTTCCACGAAATATACCTTACTGCAGACAAAGTTGCAATTCCAGAATCAGACTACTGAGATACCTGAGGATCCATATGTAAATCTGTTGTAGAGATCATTCTCAAACTGAGGGATTGCCAATGAAATGAATGAATGAGGCTGGGACCGATGCCATCATAATGAAGGAATTTGTTGAATATGGAGGAGACATCCATGGTGGCAAGAATAGTGTTCTTTGGAGGCTGGTTAATATTGCAGTTTCTGGAGGAAGTCAGTCGATCCCTTTGTGTGGTGAGTAGTTTGAGGGTGGCTTTTATGAGTCCTGGTACTCTTCCTGCCAGAGTGCTATGGCTAGATGTAATGGGTTTGCCTGGGTTCCCTTCCTTCCATTTTGGGAAACATGTGAAAGGCCATTGGGGAGCAAGACTGGGGTATGAGGTTGAAGAGTTTATCTTAGATCTGTTTGGGAGAGGAATTGTTGACATTCTTAAATTCCTGTGAGAATTGTGGAGTGGACTCTTTCTTGCATTTTTTATAGTGGGTAGTGTCTGAGGGGATGTCTACACTACAGCGTTATTTCAAAATATCTTACTTCGAAATAGTTAATTCAAAATAGCTTATTTCGAAATAACGCATTTACGTACAAAATGCATTTCAAAATACCTTTTTGCTATTTCAAAATAGTGCATCCACACTGAGTGGATGCTGAATTGCATTTAAGGCCGGCCGGAACCAGGTCCGGTAGGACATCAGATCAGGAGTTACTGAGGCTTGCCCTTAAAAGTCCACCCTCTCCCCCCTCCCGGGACAGCTGATTCTCAGATTTCCCTGCTTGCTTACCTACCTCGATGACGGACAGCAACGCATTTTGTCTCTGAGTGCTCTGGTTGCCCTCAGTAAGGACACCACAGCACTCTGCAACGTGGAGCCAGAGCTGCCCCTGGGCACTCTGGTGCTTCTCTTGGATGCGTTGCTGCAAGCCTGGCTGCACTTTCTGCAGGCTGCCATCTGGGAGGTCCATCAGGGGCTGTCAGTATCCAGGAGGCCCTGCGGGAGAGCTTCCACCCTGAGGAGCACTAAGAGTCTCCTTGGTCTGCCCCACTGGGGGCTTGTGCCTCATTCCTCCCTCACATTCTTCCACTAATCTCCTCCTCCCCCCTCCCCCCGTTTCTCTTCCTTATGTAAAATAAAATACAGATTTCATCATAAACACGAACTGTCTTTATTTAACAAAACTGGGGCGGGGAGTGGGGGATGAAACTCTGGTGAGACTGGGGAAAGGAGGTGGGAGGGGGAAGCGAGAGGGTGGGAGAAGGGAGGAGGAAACCTGAGAGGAGGGAGCTGGAAGGGGGAAGCAAGGGAAAGAAGGGGGAGAGGAAGCTCAGGGCTCAGAGGTGGGGGTCTCTCTGGACCAACTTGATTTTCATGCGAACCTGCTCCTGGGTTCGTATGTGGCCTTTGATGGCCAGGCTGACAGCTATCCTGCCGTAGACGGCCATGTTCCTCCGTCTAATGCGGAGATCATGGGGCATCCCCTCAAAACTGAATAATCCATGATCTCCACCCTGGACCAAGAAGGCACCCAATTTCTCCTGGCCCTGGTAGGCTCCTGGGAGCTGGCAGACTGGTCCTGGGGAGTGGGGGAGGGCTGGCTGCCAGTGGCTTGCTGGCTCATGTTTTGAGGCCACTGGGTCAGGGGCAGTGACTGCTGGCTCTGGGCTGACAGGCATGAAGCTGGCACAGGCACTTTGGCCAAAGTCAACACCTTTAAGGTCTCCGGGGAAGGGGAGAGTTCTTGGTTGAGGCTGGAGTGGCCACCAGGGCACCCTGGGAAGGCAGCAGGCACCCTATTTCAATATAAGTGTCTACATAACACTTATTTCGAAATAGCTATCTCGAATTTGGTGTTATTCCTCATGGAATAAGGTTTACCAAATTCAAAATAAGAGCTGTGTAGATGCTAGTAAAGTTATTTCGAAATAAAGGCTGTTATTTCAAAATAACTTTGTTGTGTAGACATACCCTGAGAGTTGCTGGTTGGATTGGACATTCTGGTTACCTTTCCTGGACCTAAAGAAGATCTCTATGAAGACTGAAATCTTGTCCATGTCACAAATACATGTTGATCCAACAGAAAAAAAAATTTTTGCACCCACATTTTTGCTCTCATAGCCTGGACCCACACAGCTACAACAATGCAAATATATTATTTTATTGATCTAGATATAGCTATACAGAGAGGATAAATATATAGGCTTGCAGTTCTGATAGCAAAAATCTGATCTGCTACTTTTTAAAGAAATGTAGTACATTAGTACAGCTATGCACCACTTATTATGCTGCTCTTACAGTTCAAGTTCTATAATGTTTCTATGCAATTATATTATACATTAACTAGTTCACTTTATAAAATCTGAACACTGGCATCTGAAAAGCAGAACTCTCTCTTGGCAGTAAGGAGACTAAGGTTGTGTGAGGAGCTGGGTGTGGGAGAATGGAACTGAGTAACTATGGAGACAAGGGCAAGGAACCCAGGGAGGGAAATGAACTGTGAACTGGGACTCAGAGGTGGCAGGGAGGGGTTCTAGAAATTGGATGGAGAATCCTAAAGAGAAGACTAGGACTAGTTGGACAAGCAGACTCGGACTGAGTTCAAAACTCCAAGGGATGCGGACTGGGACTGATTCAGACCCTGGAACAAGGATTAGAAGTGAGGGGAAGGATTACAGAGAAGGAGTCAGGGAGAGGGAGACAGGACTGTGATAGAGTTAATGGGGCTGAGGGAATTCGATTTTGAGAAAACAAGAGCAGAAAGGTCTTTGACAGAGTATACACTCCTCAAAAACCTGGAATAAAACCCAAAATTCCTGAAACTCCTCATTCCTTTGGTACCATTAAATATCTGTAAAATCAATACTAAAATGCGTATCTCTTCTTCTAGAGCTGGGCCACAAAGAAGATGATAAACTGCTACTACTATCAGTTACTGTGTTTGCTCAAGCAACAGAGATCTGTGTGGTTGATCCAAACATTTTAGCCCTACTGTTGACCCATACATGATGGGATTTTTGTTTTCTTGGTCTGCTTTTTATAAACATTAGGAAATGACACAAATAAGCTATTTTTAAAATGCTAAGATTTCAAAAAGTCAAGCACTCAAAAGTTAGGAAATCTGAATTGAGGCTGTTTTTGTGACCCAGACTTCAGTCACTGCACAGGATGGACTCATGCTCTTGGAATGAAACACAGTTGTGTAGTGAAGAATATTGTTTTCTGAAGCATGTCTGCCTTATTTGTTGCTTTGCTAGAGACCGTGGAGTCTGAATTACCAAAGTGCTGAACACTGGCAGCCATGACTGAAGTCAAGACTGAAGGGACCTATATTGTGAATCTATGATACTAAATATTCTGAAAAAACTGCTCTTAGGCTTCTTCAATTGGAAACCCATAATTAATAGATATTTTTGCCTTAATCTCTTTGTGCCACATTTTCCCATCTGTAAAATGGGTATAATAATATCACCTATCCTCAGAGGGATCTTGTGAAACTAATTCATTAATTACATTCATCTGATGAAGTCTTTGCCCACGAAAGCTTATGATCCAACACTTCAGTTAGTCTATAAGGTGCCACAGGACTCCTCGCTGCTAATTCAGTAATGTTTACAAAGAACTCATGTAAACATAACCAGGGCTCGCCAAGTGGCAGCAAGCCCCGCTCACCAGCACTTGCGTGGCTGTGCCGGCTTGTAATCTACTTACCATGGACGAGTAGATTACACTAATTGTCTAGCCCTGTTTATAGCAACATCAGAGAAAAGCCTAAGAGGAAATTTATAATTCTTTGGTCAGAGTAAGAGCTGAAAGTGTGCCATCAGTAAACTCTGGGACCACACACTGAAATTTGCGCATACAGTGAGGACTGTTCATGGTGTGGCCTGAAGAAGGCAGAATCCTGTGTAAAAAATAGCATATCATCATGTAGTTAAAGATGACATAATACTCCATATACACACAAGGAAGGGGAGGATTTGTGCTACACAGAAAATCTTAATTCTGGCGTTTACTACCTCTCATTTCCTATTCATGTCCTTTTAATGTCTTATTCATGTAAGCTTTTGTCGGTATTTGGAATACCCCCAGACCTGCTGCACCATACGGTTTCCCACCCTCCTCCCCCTTATCCCTGACAGCCTAGCTGAGCCGTGCACCAGGCTTCCTGGTTCCCAGCTCCCTTTCTCTCCTGGCCCCACCCAGCAGCCAGACCTCAGGGCTGTGTCTAGATTGGCCAGTTTTTCTAGAAAATCAGCCGCTTTTCCGGAAAAACTTGCCAGCTGTCTACACTGGCTGCTTGAATTTCCGCAAAAGCACTGACTTCCTACTGTAAGAAATCAGTGCTTCTTGCAGAAATACTATTTTGCTCCTGTTCAGGCAAAAGCCCCTTTTGCGCAAAGCTTTTGTTCAAAAGGGCCAGTGTAGACAGCTCAGATTTGTTTTCCGCAAAAAAGCCCCGATCGCGAAAATGACGGAAGGAATTCCTACTTGAAAGTAGGAATAAGGGATCTCCCGGAAAAGGGCTTATTTTCCGGAAAATCACATCTACACTGGCGCTTTTCTCCGGCAAAAACCCCTAGCAGGAAAAAAGCGGCAGCCATGTAAATGCAAATGCCGCGGGGGATATTTAAATCCCCCGTGGATTTGCAATTCTGAAGTGTCTCATTAGCATCCCTTTTCCGGAAAGGGATGCCAATGTAGACACACCCCTGAATCCCTGTGCCATAAGAATAGCCATATGGGGTCAGACCAAAGGTCCATCTGGCCCAGTGTCCAGTGTTCTGACACTGTCTAATGCCAGGTGCTTTAGAGGAAATTAACAGAACAGATAATTCCTCCCTATTGCCCATACCCAGCTTCTGGCCAACAGAGAGTAGCAACACCATCTCTACCAATCTTGTCTAATAAATATTGATGGATATATCCCCTGTGATAGTATTCAAGTTGTTGGCTTACCATGGATTTATATAAAGGCAGCATGATATTTTCTGTTTTATTATCAATCCCAATCTTAATGATTCCCAGCATTCTGTTATTAAGGGGGTTGTGCACCTCATCTGCTGGTTTCTTCCCCATCCACTGGCTTTGCCCTAAAGTCAGAGGGGCCAGCCCAAAGGGTAGGGCTGCGCACCCTTCCCACTGGCTTCACCCCACAGCTGGCCCAGAAATTGGGGAGAAAAAGTACATACTTTTTGGTGGTCCTAGCTCTTATAGTTTAGGACGAGTTCTTAATCAAACAGACTCACAGATAGACAGACAGATGCACATTTCTAAAATATATATCTCCCTTGTTTGTCTCCCTAAGGGATCATGTCAAACGCTAGTGATTTTTTTAAACATTTACCTTCTGGATTTCATGATATCTTAGCATATTTATTCACTCATTGCAAGTAAAAATGATATTCTGTTGTTCAACCTTGCTTTAAATCAGGCAATTCATGTTAAAATATATGCCACCAGATAAAAAGAAATGCAATTGAAACCATGGTTATAAAAGGTATTAAAAAGTACTTACCATGCAGACAAACATAGGAGTAAGTCAAATTACATTTCAGTGAGGAGTCTGTATTCCACGTTAAACTCAAAGAGGTGTTATTTATAACATCAGATTGCAATTTGTATTTTTTTTGGTCTGTGATGATAAAGAAATAATGCAATATATTCAGATTTTATTTTCATATGTGTTTGAACATACAGGTTGGATCTCCCTGGTCTGGCACTCTCAAGACTGATTGGATGAGGGATTTTGCTAGACCAGGAGAAGCCTCCCTGCCACGGCCTTACCCCCAAGACCTGTTTCACCGTAGAGCTTCCCACCTCCCTTCCCTTTGTCCCTGGCAGCCCAGCTGAGCTGTGCACCAGGCTTCCTGGTTCCCAGCTCCCCTTCTCTCCTGACCCCACCCAGCAGCCAGACCACTGATGTTGCCGTACCAGAAAGTCCCCATTTAGAGAACTGCAATCTGTATTTATTCTCAGCATTCATGTATAACGTTATTTTTTATTATTAATACAAGCATATGTTTGTGGAGCAGGGGAACCAAATGTATGTATTCAGATGAGTAAAATCATTAGTAAAAGGCATTTTGGTGAGTTAGTAAAAAAAGGCAAGTTTGGCACCTCAAATTTAAAAATCTGATGCCCTGTGCAATTCTCAGTTTAAAATTGTGGCTAGAAAAATTATCCAGATTTCACAACTACACAAGTGAATATGGGAGACTACATGGCTATGCCTGTACTATGGGTAGCAGCACAGAAGGTGAAGCAGGCCTCAAACAGCAACTGTGTTCCAAGACCATGTGCGTAATGATCTATGACTGTAGCCTCACACTGCAAGACCCAGGCACTTTCACTGTGCCAGATTTTGTTAAGAAAGACCAGTACAGCGTACTGCACAAGTAAAGCTTACTCTCTCTTTCTGGAACACAGCCTAAATGTGGAGCAAGATTATGTCTCTGAATCACAGTCTCTCTCCAGGGCAGCATTAGAAGCAATAAAACATATTTCCTTTAGCTTTGGGAAGTTCTTAAAACCATAATCTAACTCCTTGTAAAACATAAATTTTGGAGAACCTCACATCTTTATCAACTTGTATTTCTTATATATATTCCATCTTCTAATCCTTGAAACCCTAATGCTTCATGTAAAAAGATAGAATATATCTCTGGTACTTAGATATTGAGTGTATCAAATATTGACTATAAATCTGGAAACTTCATATTGATGGAGAATAATACAAATTCTTATGTTGTCTCTCTACTCTATTGCTCCAAACTCTATTCAGAACTTTCATGGATTATTTCTCATCAATCTTGTCACACTGATCTCTCTTAACAAAACATTCACACAAATTAAAACACCAATGTATTATTCCAATTATATGAAAATCCTGAACTAGTACACTGTCAAGGAAGGGTGAATTCTCACTCCATCAAAACAGCAGCAGTGCTCTGAAAGGTGGTTCTGTCTCCATAGTCCTGATTGGCAGTGTGATAAGCGAACAGGAGTTGGGCAGTTTCCAAGGTCTCTTTGGAAGAAGATACACGTGCTATTACAGGGAAGGGCAGAGGAGAGCCAGCACTGAAGTCCAGGATAGCACAGGGACTATGGTGGTTAAGTACCAACTGCAACAGAGACCTGGAAGAGGCACTTCAAGTTTGCACCAGAGCTAGGAAGAGTTGGACCCTGATTTGGCCTATTGATAAATTTACAGAACTTACTCTCTGAACACAGATTATATATTCTGAGAATTTACAAGTAAATCCATTGATTATTTTGAATTAAAAGTAATTAAAAACTTGGCCACTTAGCATCTGTAGCAGTATTTCCTGTTTCTGATCTCAACAATGGAATAACACTGATTCTTCAAACTTTCCATATAGGTAAATGTAATTGAAAGGTTGTACATAGATTATATTTCAAGGAATTACCTTGTAATTAAGCTAAATATTATTGTACCATGTAATTGGTTATAATTACAGAGAATATAGACCAGGGCTGGCCAACCCACAGCTCACAAGCCGCATGTGGCTCTTACTCCCTTAAACTGTGGCTATTGAAGCCTCCCCTGGGGCTCACGAAGCCCCTAAATATGGCCCCCTGTTCCCTGTGGTCACCATCAGGTGTGGTGAAGCAAAATGGCACTGGCTGATGGGAGCATGATGTGGCCAAAAAGCCTTTTTTTTTTCTTTTTTTTTTTTTGCTCAGCAACATTTTTCCCTTGGCCCTTTGCGCTATATCCCCAACTATTGTGGCTCTTTGCCTTCAATGGGTTGGCCACCCCTGATATAGACAAACTCAGGTAATTCTTAACTGAAATTGTTATAATTTTTAAAAATGAATTAATGTTGCTGCTACTTAAATAGAAATAATTACAAATATCACATTTCTTATCACATTACTAATAATTAAATTGATGAAGAATTAAGGCTTCAGGTGCATATCAATAACTTAAAGAGTCTCAAAAACAAGCATCAGAAGCCTAGAAAATTCAGTATTAATTTTACACTTCAAGTACAAAATGTAAAATATTCTCTGAATTCCCTGGGTTTGTAATGCTTATTTTGGGGAGAATGTACTGACCATCTTAACTGCATTTTAACAGTCTCAGAGGAGCAGCGTTGTAAGTCTGTAACTTTAAAAACAATGTGGTAAAACTCTTTTCTTCTTCATCAGAAGAAGTGGGTAATATATATATTTGTTAGTCTCTAAGGTGACACAGGACTACTCGTTCTATTTTAACAGGTTTTTTTTTAAACAAGAAAAACAAATAGAAAATACCACATCTTTCTAATGAGGCCACTTTAATTATGGTCTTTACCTTATATCAGATTTAATTATTCATACAAAGTAAAAACTGTCTTCAGTGAAGACTAGATCTTAACCTGGTTTCTAGTTTTAAATTTATGCACACAGAATTAGAGGCAAAGTTTTCATAATTTTACTATTATGTACCATAAAGATTGAGGCCATCAGTTTCAAAAGTGATTATTATTTGAGGCATCTTAAATAGGCTTGATTGTCACAAAGTGCTAAATAAAAATTGCACCCTTTTAATTTGTCTTAGGTGAAGTGTTCTCAGATGGTTTTTAAAAAAAACGGACAAAACTTGGAGAAAAAATTGTTGAGAAAAAAAAAACCGCTGGGGAGAAATCAGGGAAACCTGGGGTGGTGGGAAGATTCGGGAGGTTGGGCCAAAATGCAGTCACAGCCCCTTTAATTGCCACATGGCTCGAGCAGGCTTGTGTCCTGTGCCAAGCCAGGCCTGGGAAAAACAGAAAAACTTACTTAATTAGAAAATACCAGACATTTATAAGTTTGGTATTTTCTCAATTTGTTTACTGGACACAAAGTCCAAATACCAGAATGTCCAGTTCAATACCAGATACCTGGCAACCCTACTTAGGTGTGACACCCAGATAATTACTCACTTTTGAAACTCTTTGCCTCACAGCTTTACAGGACTTAACAAAAAGTACTACAGGGAGGCTTTCAGTCCCAAATAACTCTTGAGATATAACTAGTCTGTTGGAAGATGATTTCTGAAACTCTGCATCACAAACAATTCAATTCTGATTTTGCTAAATAAAACCTTATATAATGAATAAAACCTGTACTTACTGGGTGGGACAATAATGGAACGATTAATGTTGCAATTAGCATTATTTATAACAATGTTGTATGCTTTACATTCCTCAAGTCCTTCAATACTATCATTGTTTGTTATCTTACAAGGTGAGTCACATGTAAGACTGGATGGAGTTATTTCTAAGCCATATTCAAAAACTTTTAATTTTCCACTGACTAGTTTCTGACTGTAATTGTGGTCCACCATCGTAAGATTAAGTTGGTCTGAAAGAGGTAAAAAAATTGTTAAACACCACACATTTAAAATAAAAGCTTTTCATTTTTTATTCATACACTTGAATTTCATTTTTGGCACTTGTACATTTTATTATATAGGTAGAATAAATGTAATTATTCATATAAAACAAAGACTCTCTTAAGTGAAGACTATACTCCATTGTTTTATGGCATTAATGTAAAAATGGTTTGGAGACACCTAAGTGAGAGAAACATTTGTCTAAACTCCAGAATATTTTCTACATGAAAGATCTTAGCATAAAAAATACAGGGATGTTTCTGAAACTCAGGACTGGTCTTCACTTAGGAATTTACATTGATAAAGCTACCTCTCTCATGGGGTGTGAAAAATCCATCACCCTGAGAGACACAGAAGTATAAACCTAACCTCGGGTGTAGACATCACAAGGTTAACTGAACAATTAATCTGCTGACAAAGCTACCACCTCTTGGGGAGAGAGATTACCTACACCTACAACAGAATCCCTCCCATCCATGTAGGCAGTCTCTATACCATGCGAGGGCAATAATATTAACAGGATGGCCACTTCAAGAATTTTGGTAAGTGGTTATGGGCTGCCCTTTACTGTTCTATTAATAGAGCGATGTGAGGACTGGGATGGAGTTTCGGTACAGAAGGAAGCACCAGGCAGGGACTGACACATAGGAGGCGGCTTAAGCACAGAAGGGGATTGTGACATGGGGCAGAGATGTCGGAGGCTGAGCAGTGTCTGGGAGGGAGTTTGGATGCAGGAGGTTGTGACCTGGGGTAGGGGTCAAGGTATGGGTAGGAATGCCAAGTGCAGTGTCTGGGCTTGGTTGGGAGATACATACCAGCATAGGCAGATGCCAGCCAATAGCACTGTGGGGTACTCAGGCGGGCAGGCTGCCTGCATGCAATGTGGTCTCATACTAGTCACAGCTGCCAGCTGCCTCTGTCAAGAGTGTCTCTATGCCTCTCCTTGGGGGGAGCAGCAGGTCTCCATGCATTGCCCACATTTGCAAGCAATGCCCTGCCCTGCCCTGCTGCTCCCATTGGCTGGTTTCTGGCAACAAGAGCTGTGAGAATAGTGCTGGGGGTGGGGGGCAGCATGCCAAGGCCCACTGCCCTCCCCCTCCAATGGAGACACAGAAACACATTTGTCAGCAGTCTCTGACCATGGTGCTTCTGGGAGCAGCATGGCCTAGTCCACATTAAGCCTGCAAGGTTTCCTGAGCAGCCTACTGGGCCACAGGACATTTCCTTCCAGCCCTGTGGTGGGCCAGAGAAAAATATATAGTGGGCCGAATCCAGCCTATATACACCATGTTTTGCTCAGTGAAGTGCTACAGAAGAGCTGCTGAGTTACTGTAGTATTTTAAGTGCAGACATGCCCCTAGAAATGCTCCTTTTCTTCCCCACTCAGCATCTAAGCATGTTATCAAAAATATCTGCTTCCACCCCACACAAGACAAAGAAGGTTAAATGAGGCCAATGAATCTGATATTCCGCAGCTGAAGGAAAGCCAGAGACTGGTAAAGGTGAACTGATGATGAAGCCTAGCTCAGAACTGAGTTATTTCAGGGTAAGCAGTCTACTATTGCTTCCTGGTTTGTTTCACCTACAGAGGCTGGCAGAGAGGGGAAATAGTCTGCAGTTAGTCTCTGAGAAGAGGGAGTTTGGGCTGGTAGACCTAAGGGGGTGGAGATGAGAAACACAAAGGACTGCAGGGTAATAGTGAAAAGGCAGGGAGCAAGCAGACCATGGTACCTAGACTTAGGATCCCTGAGCTGGAATACACCTTAATGCTAACAGGTACTAATAGTGCAGATTCTGGGAAAGTGACATAAGCCCTCACCTTGGACTGGAAGCCTATCTGGAATGGCATACAGATAGGTAATGCAGGGAACTTGGATAACTGGAATGGGGAGGACTATGCAGTGACCTGATCAGAGCACTGAATCATGAAGACTGGGATCTGCAAGCCCTGGAGAGCAAGCAGGGAGGCAGTGTGAACTGCCAGAAGTGGGCATTAAACCTGAATGAAGTTAATCTCCAGATGTGGAGACACGGTGCCAACCCAAGGATGAATGGACTCAGATACTTGCTCTTGTTTAAAAATAAATGGGCTAGATTGTCCATTTCTGTGGGAAAATCCAGGGGACGGGGTGAATAGCATAGAAACCTCCCAAACTGCTTGGGAAGGTGCCCTCCCTAATCCAAACAAATTGTGGGTCCTGCTCTCAAACTCCAATGATTCATGAGGATCCATAGCAAACAAAGGTGCACTAAGGCCCTTTATCCCAATACTGTCCTCTTGCAGTGTAATTCCAGAGGAACCATGTTACATCAACTTCTGCAGCCAACACCTGCCCTAGCATCAGCCATATAAGGAGATCTCTAGTGGAGCCAGGGAGCATATAAAAATAATTAAGCTAGATGTTGTATTGCAGTTCCACACTGTGTCTCCTGGGACTGGTGGGAGCCTCCTCCTATCCTATCTAGACTCAGTTTTGTCCATTCTGAATAAATGCCCTTTGGAGCTATAAAAAATAAATAAAGTACCCACTCTGGGCAATGCAATTTACAGCTTAAATATTACAATTAAATAATATAATTAATACATGAAGATATTTTCCGATGGCTGAAGATCACGTAACTCATACAGCACTGTGTATATTGTACGTGGATTCTTCTGAGGGTCCAGAGGATCATAACAAATTGTAAAATCCACTTCTTTAATATAGACTTCCCTCAGCAGCAGCATCAAAATCATGTGTTTAAAAAAATATGGTCTCCTCAGATTGGGGAATTAGAGAGTCATACATAGATCCACTTGAATTCATTTGATGGGTTTGTGAGAGATTCAGAAACCATGATGAAGGACTTAGTATAGAAATCTAAATAGATATAAGATGGACAGATCATGGCATAATTAATTAACATGATTGTAATGATTTTATCCCATCTACACAGGCAGGGCAAACCCTTTTATAAGATATGCTGTAAACTATTGTATCACTGTGCAATTGCCTGATCTGGCATGCTGTCCAGTCTACAATTCACCTGTCATTTCAGCATGCTCTGCCTATGGCCAGGGAAAGCAGATAAGACTTGTTATATCAATTAATAATCAGTTATTATTTGAGGGGTAGCCTTAGTTTTCTTATTTGGGGGGTAGCCGTGTTAGTTTGGATCTGCAAAAGCAACAAGGAATCCTGTGGCACCTTATAGACTAACAATACATCTGTATAGACTAATACATCTGTTAGGGTACGTCTACACTTGATTCCTAATTTGAGCTAGGAATGCAAATGTAGGCGACCGAAATTGCTAATGAAGCAGGGATTTAAATATCCCATGCTTCATTAGCATGATCTTGCCGGTGTGTTACTCCGCTCAACAGCTGATTCGAACCAAGACGTGCGTGCTGTGAGTAATGTTAAAATAAGCACCAGGAGTAACAAAAAAAAAAAGGAGTAATGTTAGTTCAAACCGAGGGGTTTAGTTCAAACTAATGCATCCCAGCGCACACTTCCTTGTTCAAATCAGCTGTTGAGCTGAGTAACTCATCAGCAAGATCATACTAATGAAGCACGGGATATTCAAATCCCTGCTTCATTAGCAGTTCCAGTTGCCTACATTTGCATCTCTAGCTCAAACTAGGGAGCAAGTGTACATACCTTTAGTCTATAAGGTGCCACGGGGCTCCTTGTCACTTTTCTTATTTATTTGTCAAATGATATAAAATAAGAAGAAAGTAAAAAAAGTCAGGAAAACAAAATGAAATGCTTAAGTGCCTGTCGATTTGGTTTGTTTGGGCCTTCAGTTGATCAAAGTGAAGAGTGTGCAGCAGGGTTCATTACGGTTTCAAAAGTTGCACTTTACCTTTATTAAACATAACTTACCACAATTTATGGGGGAAGTTGTCACTGTAAGAAGAGGGGGAAAAAAGACAGCACTTCATTAAAATTTTGGAAAAGGATGCTTAATACATTTGTACCTATTACCATACATTTGTTTCAAAATAATGTTTAGCCTTTATACGTTAAAATGGTTGTACTTTTGATTAACTCATATTTTTGTCTTCATTCTTAGTTAGTGTATTTTTCATTATTCCCTTTTTCATGATTTATTGCAAATTATATTGCTCATTATACAGGTTTCTGAACTATAGTTCTACATGAGTAACATTATTTTTCTTACAGGTATAATAATGAAAATCTAAGTGGCAAGCTACATCATTCTCTTTGATAACAACTATAAGGGAACAGTAAGTATATTAATCAGAATGGCCCTTTTTCCAAGGTTTGGATGATGCAGGTTGCTCAATTTGCAAGAAGGCAATGCCCCTTTGAGAACTGCCATGAGGCTGGTAGTGAAGTGTCTCAGTTTTGACTGTCGTTCAACAAAAAGAATCAAGCCATTGTGCATTAATTATCCTAAGTGAGTAAGGAATACAGTAAGATTGGCCTTCACAATTCCTTTTTACCAAGAAAAAGCAAGTACTATTTGCTGTTCATGACAGCCAGAAAGTGAACCTTATATTATCTTTTTAACATAACATTTATTTAATTTAACAAATAAAAGTAATAAGCTTCCTATGAGACTTCAGTTTCTTAAGATGTATCTGCGACATAAAACATTTGTTAAGGTTTCATAGCTAAAGGTACTTCAGTGGCTAAAACATTTCTCATGCATGAGGTGTTAGAATTGCTATAACTGTGTGCAAGTTTGTCACCATTTGAAAGAGGTGGAGCAGTCGTATTCATGGAATGTGAGGTGTCTGAGGAAGACTCAGGCATGTTTGTTGTAGTGCTGTTAGAAGTAATGTTCATGGATGGTGAAGTGGTGCTGTGCAAGGATGTCATATTGTAATCATCTGCAAGGAAATAAACAGAACAAATTAATATCAGAAAGTGATTCCGTAGTGCAGTCGTACCATAAATGGGCTTTTTTTTAATCATCATATCACAACAACCCTTAAATAGAGGTGCAATGGAATAGAGCTAGTATTTGCATTTAAAAAACAAAATAGGAATATCTTAGTATAATTGGGGTAATATCAGTTCTATAAGTTAAACAATCTTACAATATATTGGACTGAATTCTGCAGTCACTGCTCAGACAAAACTGCTTATGAATTCAATGGCATTTTTGCCTGAATAAATGCTTCAGGGTTTATCCTATGGTACAATTTAGGAAAGACCACAATTACCATCCATATTTCTAACCACAGGACTCAATTCTACCAACACTTGCTTCTAAGTAAAGTGCTTATTCCTACAGAAACACCTCATGGTAACAATCACTACTCTCAATAGTAGATGTTTGCAAGTCCAGGTTCATAATACTTTGTACAACATAATTATATTTTCTTAATTAGAAACAATGATTTTTATGGCTTCAGTTATATATAGAGCCAAGTGCTGCAGGTCTTACTTTGGCAAAACTGTCATTGACTTCAGTAAGAGAATAATGATTGAAAGATCAAACTATCCAACCTTGTATTCTGGAAATAAAGTGAAGAAGCCTCTTGCAGTCTGGCATCAATTGTGCAGCTTAAACACACTTTCCCAGTTTAGCAATTAATGCTATAAAAAGTAACCCAACTGATTAACTGATTAACTAAACAGTCGTCATGCAAACAAAAACTGTACTATTGACAGCCTGGAGCCATCTAAAGGAATACAGCAAACCTGATGGTTTATGCGTGGTGGTAGCAGGAGTGAATGAAGTAAGGGCAGCAGTGCTGCTGTGTGGCTGATTGGTGGATCCTATGGTAGAGTCTGAGTATGAGTGCGTGGTGAGATTTGCGCTGCTTGTTGTAATGGTGCCTGTAGTAAGGAAGTACAATAGTTTGTTATTGCTTCCTAACGTAACATACACAGAAAAGGACAATAAAGTCATGTGTAAGCAACGCTGCTACACTTGGAAAGATAATGTTAGGTCTTGCTCTTCTATTTAGGCAGACACACAATTTCATTCTATTTCTTATGTATAAGGCTTATGGCAAAAAGATAGCAAAATGCATTCAAAAAGAAAGTTAACCAGAAATACAAAGCATCTGCAAATTGAACATGTCCCTTAAGTTCTCACTGGGATTGACTGCTGTTGCTGAAGCCACAGTGGAAGACTCTCATTAGCTTCAAAGGGATCAAGATAACGCTCTTTTATTCTGATGGTAGCTTAGGGTGCTCGCCCAACCCCCAGGTTCAGATCCCTTGTGTTTTAAGAAAAGGTTATTGTTGTGCAGAAAATGGTTCCAATACACTAGTATAACTATATAAGGATTAGATTATATTCCAGTCATTTTACAGGTGGGTATCATATATCCCAGGAAGTGTCAAAGCCATGGAACAGACTCAGGAATCCTTATTCTCTCTCCTGATCTAACCACCACACAGCACTCAGACAAAAAGTCAAACTGAAATCATTACCAGGATTCCCAATTGATTAATATTCTTTAGAAATAGTTAGTGGAACCTCCAAGTATTAGCAGAACATCTATTCTGCATAATCCCTTGTATCTTCTCAGGTGTTTCCCTTATAGTAAACATTTAATCCACATGGATGACTGACAATTTTCTAGGCCGACAGTTTCAGGAAGAATGAAGACAAATAAAAGGCAAACAGATCTTTCTTCATTTCAAAGAAAGACCCTAACTTTTTAATAAGCACCTAACAAAACAAGAGTTTCAAGATGGATAAAGAGATAAGACCTCAGGACATTAATACCATGTCAAGTTGTACTTAAGGGCTGATGATTTTTACAAAGCATTTAATAAGGAATACTGTATGTATCCACATAGTCAGCAGCATTATAGAACCATTCTTTGGTTTTTAGCTAGCTTGAAAGAAGCTATGAATAAATATATGTCCACAATGGCTTGTAATCAGAATTCCTTTCTTCATCTCTTTGAATTGGAAATGGAAACTAAAATTTCTTTATAGTAATGGCTTTGTGAAATACATACCTGTAAATAACCTAATGACCACTGGATGTCTACCTTGCCTCACAGAAGGAAAATAGAACAAATCATCTTTTATCTGACAATAAATCATAACTTCAAAATGAACAATATTTTAAATATTGATCAATTAGGCATTTTGCAATGGTTCCACTTTTATCCAACAATGCTGTCTGTTGTTCATCTACTAAATGTCCATGGAGTACTCTGGTATCTCTGACTATATTATTGTACTGCATTTCAGTCTAGTTTCTCTGCCTTCAACCCAGTTTCATTGTCCCTACTCTCATTCTCATGTGATCTTTTGGATCTTAACTTCCAGGTAAAAATAAAATGGTTGTACGGCAGGGTTGCCAACCATCCAGGATTAACCAGCAGTCTCTGTGAATTAAAGATTAATCTTCACTTAAAGATTATGTCACATGATGAAACCTCCAGGAATACATCCAAACAAAATTGGCAACTCTTACGGAGTGAACAGGCCCTGCACTGAAGGTCTGGGAGTAGCCCAGGCCCAGCTGGTTGAAAGAGCCCAGCCCCTCCAGCCTTGCTGGGCCTGCTCCCAACAGAGACAGAGTATAAAGGCAGAGGGAGTCCGGCAGGAGGGAAGGCATCTGGAAGGTAGAAGGGCATAGGTAGCCACCCCGGTGTTCTGTCAGCACCTGAGGCCAGAGAGAGGGCAGCAGTGGACTACGGAGAGAAGCCGGCAGCCAACCCTACCTGAGGGACCAGACCACCTACAACCCCAGCTCCCGCCCTGGTAAGGACCGACTCCAAGGCAGACAGACTATAGAGGTGCCAGGGTGGTAGGAAGCAGCCCAGGGCAAGAGATTGCCATCATAGCTCAGTGTGTACTGGCTGGATTCCCCACTGAGCAGGCAGGGACACTAGACCCTGCCTACAGGGCCCTGGGCTGGGACCCGGTAGAGAGGAAGGGCCCAGGTCCCTCTACCACCCCTTTCCACTCCCCGGGCCAGCACCCTGGCCAGGAGAGGCTATCCCCTGGGCTAGGCCTCAGGTATCGTGTATGCCCAGATAGAGGGGCCGGACATTATAGTGAAACTGCCGGCACCATATATGCCCTGATAGAGGGGCTGGGACTTTATATTGGAACTGTTTAGTCAGGTATATGCCCTGACAGAGGGACAATGGGACCTTAGAAGGTGGGGCGGACCTCACACCAGGGGCGTACCCCCTGACAGCAACCCTTTTGTAACTGTGTGGTAAAGCGCACTTAAGAACCTGAAATTCTTACTCAGTGGTATGTAGAAAACATATCAATGACCCACACTCAGTACATTTGCAAATCCAGATGCTTAACAGCCTGTCTCTTCATATTGAATCACTTACTCTGAGAAAAATACCAGTTAAACCAACTGAAATTTTGCCTCAAGTTGCAGGCAATTTAGGAGAGACCACAATTATCATCCATATTTCTAACCACAGGACTCAATTCTACCAACACTTACTTCCAAGTACAGTGTTTATTCCTACAGAGACACCTTATGGTAACAATTACTGCTCTCAATAGAAGATGTTAGCAAGTTCAGGTTCATAATACTTTGTACAACATAATTTTATTTTCTTAATTATTTTTATGGATTCAGTTGTATAGAGAACCAAGTGCTGCAGGTCTTACTTTGGCAAAACTGTCATTGACTTCAGTAAGAGAATAATGACTGCAAGATCAAACCATCCAACCTTGTATTCTGGAAATAAAGTGAAGAAGCCCCTTGCAGTCTGGCATCAATTGTGCAGCTTAAACACACTTTCCCAGTTTAGCAATTAATGCTATAAAAATTAACCCAACTGATTAACTGATTAACTAAACAGTCGTCATGCAAACAAAAACTGTACTATTGACAGCCTGGAGCCATCTAAAGGAATACAGCAAACCTGATGGTTTATGCGTGGTGGTAGCAGGAGTGAATGAAGTAAGGGCAGCAGTGCTGCTGTGTGGCTGATTGGTGGATCCTATGGTAGAGTCTGAGTATGAGTGCGTGGTGAGATTTGCGCTGCTTGTTGTAATGGTGCCTGTAGTAAGGAAGTACAATAGTTTGTTATTGCTTCCTAACGTAACATACACAGAAAAGGACAATAAAGTCACGTGTAAGCAAAGCTGCTACACTTGGAAAGATAATGTTAGGTCTTGCTCTTCTATGTAGCCAGACACACAATTTCATTCTGTTTCTTTTGTATAAGGCTTATTGTTGTATGACAGGGTTGCCAACCCTCCAGGACTGACTGGAGTCTTTGGCAATTGAAGAAGTCTTTACTTAAAGATTATGTCACATAATGAAACTTCCAGGAATACATCCAAACAAAATTGGCAACTTTTTTGTAACTGTGTGGTAAAGTGCACTTACTGGATTAAGAACCTGAAATTCTCAGTCAGTGGTAAGTAAATGACCCAATGACCCACACTGAGAACATTCGCAAAACCAGATGCTTAATAGCCTGTATCTTTGTCTTGTCTCATTTACTCAGAGAAAAATACCAGTTAAACCAATTGAAATTTGGCCTCAGGTAGCAGGGTTCTACCAAGAGGATGAATTGCTGGAATTATTCATCTAATCCACTGATTCTCAGGGCCACACCGCTTTCTGCAGCTCCCCTTGTCTGGAAATGGCGCAGCATAGCCAATGGGAGCTGTGAGGCTCCATGGGTATGGACACTTTAGGTAAGCGAAGTGGTACAGGTCTGCTGGCAGCTTACCCAGGCAGGCTTATGGCACACTTTGAGAAACACTGATCTAATACAATAGAAACACTGCATGATAAATATGCCTGCAGAGCCATGATCTGCTTCAGGGTTGCTTGCAGGGGAGAGTGAACTATAATGTGCGGGTGTGTCTAAAGGGGCACAAAACCATGAGAGATTTGAGTCTCCTGTTGTGAGTGATGACACAATACACCAGTGTTTCCCAAACTATGAGCCGTGACCCGGTAAAAAGTACTGGGCCTCAGCATAGCTGCCGCGGTGTTCCGGGCTCCCAGAGTGCCCGTGCAGTGCCAAGTCCCCCAAACTCTGGGCCAGGCTGGGCAGAGGATGCAGCCAGATGATCCAGGCTCCCAGTCCAGGTGTAGCAAGGGAGGAGCAAGGGGAGGGCAGTTGCCCCCGGGCACCGCACTAGAGGGGTGTTGTGCTGGGCTGTGAGGGGGGGAGCGGGGAAGGAAGGGAAGGTGCGGGGCGCTGGGCTCACCTGGGCTGCAGGAGGAAGGAGGTGCCGGGAACTTGGCACTGGACTCAAGGGGAGAGAGGGAAGGAAGGAGGGGTAGGGAATTAGCACTGGGCTCAGCATGTTTGTGAGGAGGTGCAGGGAAACTAAGCTCAGCTGGGCTGTGAGAGTGAAGAGGTGTGGGGTGCTGGGCTGAGCTGGGTTGCGGGAGTGGAGAGGTGCGGGGCTAAGCTGAGCTGGGCTGGGCTGGGCTGTGGGGGGCGGGAGGAGTGGAGCTCAGAGCTCAGTTTGGCTGCAGGAGGAGTGAGATGCTGGGACTCAAGAGGGCTGGGCTGAAGAGGACAGTGGGAGGGGCAGGGAATCAGCGCTGGGCCCAGCGTGTCTGCGCAGTTTGGGGGGAGGTGCAGGGAATCAGAGCTCAGCTGGGCTGCGAGAGTGAAGAGGTGCGGGGTGCTGGGCTAAGCTGGGCTGAGGGAGTAGGGAGGTACAGGATGCTGAGCTGGGCTGGGCTGCAGCGGGGGGAAGGGCGGTTCGGCGCTCAGAGCTTAATTTGGCTGCAGGAAGATGGAGGTGCCGGGAACCAGGGCTAGAATCAAGGGGAGGGAGGGACAGGAAATCAGAGCTGGGCTCAGCAGTTCTGCAGGGCTTGGGGGGAGGTGCAGGGAAACGGGGCTCAGCTGTGCTGTGGGGGAGGCATGCAGGGAACCAGTGCGCAGTTCAACTGGGCTGAGGTGGATGAGGGAAGGCATAGGGGACAGAAGGGCAGCTTAGCTGGGCTGTGAGGGGCTGCAGGGAACTGGTGCTGCACTTCCTTGGATTGTGGGGGATGGTTTTGGGGGAGGTGCAAGGAACCAGCGTGGGTGGGCAGCTCAGCTGGGTTGCAGGGGAGGGAGGTGCAAAGAAACCTACTGGGGAAGGGAGGAACCAGGAGCACTGAAATGACCTCCCCTGGTCCAAAAAATCCCTCATCTGGGACCAGTCAGGTCCAGAGGGTGCCAGACCAGGGAGGTCCAACTCCTGCCCAAGTCCCCTCCTTGCACCCTTCCTTCTAGCCAGATACTCTACACCCCCAATCTGCTCCCGGAGTGCCCATGCAGTGCCTGGTCCCCCAAGCCTTGTCCCAGGCTGGGCGGAGGATACTGCTGGGTGAAACAGTGAAAATGTATTAGTTTTTCATTTTTTTATATGCATTTATATTTTTGGGTTGCAAAAAACAGTACTGAAAAAAAAAACGGGTTCCAACTAAAGTAAAAAGTTTGGGAAACCCTGGTCTAGCCAGTTTTCTATCCATCTTACAGTCCATTTATCCAACCCATAATCCCTTAACTTGCTGGCAAGAATATTGTGGGTGACCGTATCAAAAGCTTTGCTAAAGCTGACACCAGGGGCTTTGAGAGGACCAGAAACAACTTATTTGCATATTTATCATTTGCTTAATGAATATGTAAATGTGCACATGAATGTTACTGGTCCTCCAAAAGCTTGTGAATTGATTTTCTGGTCCCAGTGTCAAAAAGTTTGGGAACCCCTGTAATAGACAATGGTGGAAAACAGCACATTCCTAAGTATGATTAATTAAATAGAGAACATGTCACCCTTCTAAAGTAGTTGTGCATCTGGACTCATTACAACAATGCGGTATGATACAGCTGCTCTTCCTTCACAATAAAAAATAAACCAGATTCACAGACCTTTGGAGCTGGCCTTTTGGCACTTAGGAGGTTTCAAATAGCCTTTGTGGTTCTCTCTTTAGTGTCCTATGAAAATCTAGAACTCCGTATTCTGGGCTGTGTTATTTTTATAATATTGTTGGGATTTATTTCTGTATAAATCTGGTCCCAAAACAGTGAATTCACTGGAAAGACTTCAGCTGACTTCAGTGATCTTTGGATCAGTCCCTAGATAACTATTTTTTTCTTTTAATTCTGTCTTTTCTTTCTGCTATGAAGAACTTATAATCATTCTAAACGAATATGCTAAGTGAATAAGATATGTTTAGTGAAATACATGAAAACCACAAAATCAGACACAAGCAAATTGGTTTATTTGATCACTCCTTTTTAAGCTAGTCTATACTATTTCATCTGTGATCTCGCTATTCTAAATGTAAAGGCATTAAATACTCTAGAAGATCAGACATGTACACACACAAAGCATTTTTCTTATTGGAAGTTAATACTACCACAATATTAACAAATATCATAGAAAAGTGAGGCAGTTTTGTATGGAAAGTAAAAACAGTTCTCTTACCATTTCCAGAAGATGCCTGATTTTTCCCTAAAAGGAATAAAACCAAGAATAAATACAATATAGATTATACATCTTTCTGTCCAAACACTGAAGTCTCAATTCTGCAATCAGAGCTACGTAAACAGATCCATGAATTATGCAGGAGAAGTGACTAGGGACCTTACTCATGAAGGTATACAAGCACATGCCTGAATTCAAACAAATCAATAGTTTGGAGAAGGCAAGCAGCATACAAAAAGTACTTGAATTCTAGGCTCTTTAGTTCTTGTCATTACTTGAAAGAGAGTTGATTCACCTGAATCATACTGACCTCTCTCTATGCTAGAAGCACACCACTGTTAGGCTACATCTAGACTGCAGGCTTCTTTTGGAAGAAGCTTTTTTTAGAAGAGATCTTCCGAAAAAACTTCTTCCGAACGAGAGTGTCTACACCGCAAAAGTGCATCAAAAAAGCGAATTGCTTTTTTGAAAGAGAGCATCCAGATTGAATGAACGCTCTCTCACGTGTAAGCTGTGATTGCTATGGACAGGATGGCCACCAGGTCACCTGTGCTTTTTCCTCTTTCCTCTTCTTGCGAAAAAACTCCCTCTTCCCCATCCACACACGCTTTTTTGTGAAAGAGCTCTTTCACAAAAAGTCTTCACCCTTGTAGAATGAGGATTACCAATGCTGGAAAAAACTCCTCTGTTCTTTCAATTTTCTTGCAGAAGAACGCAATTGCAGTGTGGACATTCCTCAAGTTTTGTCAGAAAAATAGCCGTTCTTCCTACAAAACTCTGTAGTGTAGACATACCCTTAAACAGCACTGAAAAGCTATGTCTAGACTGGCGTGATTTTGCTCAAGTACTTTTAACGCAAAAGTTTTTGCATTGAAGTATTTGCGCAAGAGAGCATCTACACTGGCATGTGCTTTTGCACAAAAGCATCTGTGCCAGTGTATACGCTTGCACAAGAAATTAATGTTGCCTGTCTACAGTAGCCTCTTGCGCAAGAAGCACTGATTTCCTACATTAGAACATCAGTGTTCTTGCGCAAATACTCGCGGCCAGTGTAGACAGGTGGCAAGATTTTGCACAAAAGTGGCTGCTTTTGCGCAAAATCTTGCCAATGAAGACACAGCCAAAATGAAAAGTGGAAGCACATGGATCTGGAAAAGGGTTAATGAAGCAAAATGATTTAAAAAAACCCTGTGTTTATGTTGGTTTTATTATATTGCCCAACATTTTGCAACTTCATTTCTATATATTTTTGTTTATACTAAAATTTGGAGACATAAAATTTTATTTTCATTTAAGCAATAAAAACTAAAAAATGTCTCTGGAATGTTAAGAAATTGTGATGTAATATAATGGGTCTGATCCTCAGCCTGTGTAAATCAATATAGCTCCGTCTAAGTCATTGGAGCTGGCTAGATTTACACCACCAGAGTATTTGGCCCAATATTACTGAGTCAGACTAACTGCTTTTATACTCTTTTCAATTGTCCACGAAGAGAGGTGAACCATTCTTTTCTTCCCAAGTTCACATTGACTCTGCCTGGGTTTCCTCTCGATCTAAAAAATGTTAATCTTGTGAGTGACTCGATTTAATGTGATAAGATTTATTTGAGGAGTTCTCTTGTCCCTTGATGCTGCCAGTCTGGGATTTTGTTGGAATGATAATGCGATAAAGAGTTCCCCAAGATGTTTGTAACTAGAAGTGAAATGGTGCTGTCAGGAATAGAAAATGTAAAAATGGAAAAGTAGTTTATATAACACATAATGATATGTAACTGACAGCAGCCTACCTATGAAATGTATGGTATAAATAGTAATTATTTACGCTGTGCTTCTTTCTTTAATCCAGCATGTGATTTCAAGGCATGAAACACTGAGCTCCATTCTTTCAACCAAGTGCTTAATTATCTGTCATGCAGTACATGGACTACCATAGAACAACATGTATAATACAAGAAACAAGTTAAAACTAGAAATAGTTTAACTGGTTAATTCTGTGTGACAGTTTGTGAGAGCTGAACCCAAGAAAGCTCCACATCTGAGTTGGAGTTCAAGTATTTGGAAGGCAAAGACAGAATGAGAAACCAAACAATGCCTTAAACAGTGTTTAAGGCCCTTTTGGTCAAGAATACATATTTTAAAAAGGCTCTCCTCAGCTGTGAGCTTCAGACATACTTCCAAGTGTTGATGCTGAGAACAATCCCTTCCAGCATCTCTGTGGGTTCCCTTCATCATATCACACCCCCAGGTTGGTATTTTTAGTAAAAAATCCATAGTGAATTATTCCACGTTTACTATTAGGAAATATAGCTTGAGGAGCATCAAAGCTATTGGAGAGATTTTACAATATGGCTGTCTAAATAGCACATGTACCTTAAAATGCTCCTGCTTTCGTGCATGCAGAGTAGATACTTGTATAGGCACTAATCTGTCATGCACACACAAATTCAACAGATAGAATTAGCAATAGGTGCCTACATTTGAGAATGTGATCCTGTGTTTCTAAGAAATAAATTACATTGGTTATTCCGTTGGTTATTAGCCAGAATGGGCAGAGATGCTAAACTGTGCTCTGGTGTTTACCTAATCTCTGTTTGCCAGAATCCAGGAATGGTGACTGAGGAGGGATCATTCCCTCTGAAACACCTGGCATTGGGCCCTGTGAGAAGTCAGGATGTTAGGAGAGATGGACCATTGGTCTGGCTCAGTATATCCATTCTTATGTTTTGGAATTTAAGAATCTGAATCTCAGTTACTTAAGCCTTTGTTCTGGCAACACCAAGGGGTCTGAATGTACATGAGAATCATTGTCTATATTTACCAAGGACATGCGGCACATTGAAATATTTTCCTAATTTAATTATTGTATTTACTATTCCATTGAAGAAAACCTGTGTGAACAGCTGTAAGGGACGATGATCTGATTGGTGGAGCTGGATGTCAGTTCAGAGAAAATAACCTGAGAACAAAACTGTGCCCCAAGTTTCCTTTACCTTTGTTTTCTGCTGATGAGCGTGTGGAGGAGTGTGCAAGTAGAGTTGTGCTTGTGGGCATGGAAGTAGCTCCTGTTTCCTGTCCTGTTGTATGATGGGAAAATATTATGAATTAAATGATAATGGAAAAGGACAATTTAAATAGAAAAATGTCAACTGCCATTAGTTTTCCATCTAGGATCATATTTCTTATTACAGCATTAATTACGATGGGATACATTCACAATTGTTCCTTATATATATATACACACACACACAATAAGGTGACAGAGCTTGTGTAAAGCCTATTTTGTTTCAGTCTTCACTAAAAAAGGCAAATTCTGACCAAATATTTAATACAATTTGTATACAAGAGGAATGACAAAAAACCCTAAATTGGAAAAGAATGGTATAAAGAACATTAAAGAATATTTAGGTATATTGGATGTGTTCCAGTAAGCAAGGCTGTAATGCAATTCACCCTCAGATACAGCAGGAACTTAGTAGACATAATCTTGAAATGTGCAGTGATTGTCTTTGAGAACTGATGAGGACAGGTGTGAACCCAGAGGACTGGAGAAGCGCCAACTTACTACCTATATTTAAAAAGTGATAGGGGAGGACATGGTGAATTTTAGACTATTCAGCCTAATGTTATCTGAAACACAGTAAAACTCCAATAGTCCAGCATTCCGATAGTCTGGCATCAAAATGGCAAGTGCTCCTGACGTATCTGGGATGGAACCCGGAACCACTCAGGTCAGCTGCTCTCATGTGGATTACAGCAAGGAGGGGAGATGTTTGGCTCTAGGAAAGGGAAGGGGAGGGAATGGGAATTGGGTTACACTCGGGGTACGTCTAAACTACATGGCTCCGTTGACGGAGCCATGTAGATTTGTTTTTTTGGCAAAGGCAAATGAAGCCGTGATTTAAATGATCGCGGCTTCATTTAAATTTACATGGCTGCCACGCTGAGCCGACAAACAGCTGATCAGCTGTTTGTCGGCTCAGCGCG